GAGCGTCCGGACCGCACCCTGGGCCGGACACGGAGCGTCCGGACCGCGCCCTGGGCCGGCCGCGGAACGTCCTGGCCGCGCTCCGGACCGGCCGCGGAACGTCCTGGCAGCGCTCTAGGCAGGCCGCGTAGCGTCCTGGCCGCGCCCTGGGAATTGGCATACTGGCATAGCCCCTGATATCGTAGGAGGATATGAATTCCGACGTCTTCTCCCCAGTCCCTTCGTTGGCCGACTTTTGTTTGCAAGCGATCAGTCCTTTCCGAAGTATGCAGACTTCTGGTTATCATTACAGAGACGTCTGTTCTCATGCCACTGATATGGTGCTTATGTAACCCTTTTCATGATGTCCATCAAACAGTATTAAGACGCCACTTCGTGAAATGACATCGAGCCGGTTCAAGTCACTGATGATCCTCAACCTACCCCGACCCCCGGATTTGTAGCATTCCCCAGCATCACTCCGAGCTCAACATGCCAGTATTTGAGCTGGGATTACCTGCCAGCCTCTGGCCCGATATTGACTACCAGCCTTTGATTTAGGACAGCACCCGTCGTCGCCTCCCACATACCCCCCCCCCCCCCCCACCCCCCCCCCCCCCCCCCCCCCAGCTGTCCCGCCTCGGTAGTTAGGCCGGACCTCCCAGCTCCTCCGCCTGGCTACAAGTCCGCTGCCTGCGGCAGGACCCGAGGCGCCTGTCGTCGCCTTGGAATGCCAGCGCGCCACATCTCGCCGCGGCGCGCCACATCCGCCGCCCGGTGGGCCACCCGGCACCCCGGCCGGTGCGACCGCTTTCGGGGCGGCTCCCAGGGTGTCGGGTGGCCGCATTCCTTCCAAAGGGTCGCCGGAAGGCCCCGAGTGCTCCGGCCTCTGTTGGGCGGCCGGCCATGAGAGCGGACGCCGGGCGGGCTGTGTAAACCGATCGTCGGGACACGGAGCGCCCCGCGACAGGCCATTCAGCGAGGAGACAGGCTCGGGGCGGGGGGAGGGGGGCGAGCCTACCAATCGGGGTCGGCCCCCAGTTTGTCGGCGAAATGAGGGCTATTGTACGACCGTTCTGCTGAAGATGTCGGCTTTGAATGAAGACCGGCGCGGCTGGCAGCTCATTGGCGCCGCTTTTGTTGCCGGCAGGAGCTCTTCAGAGCTGCTCGGATTTTAGTGTGGTGGTAACCAGCCGAAGGAGGCGAAATTCATCTACAATATATATATATATATATATATATATATATATATATATATATATACACCGTAGCAGCTTTACGGTGTACGGTGGAATGCTCTGCTAGACTGCGACCGGACCACTCACACTGGTTTTGGCTACGAGCGGCAGGCGGCAGGCGGCAGGCGGCAGGTTGGAACGTTCGCTCTGCCCAGCTGGCTTTCACTGTTGCTGAGCTTGACCTCTTCGTCGAATGTAATGAGAGCACACTGCAAAGAGGTCGAGCTCGCGTGCAAAGAAGGTGATCAGTGAAGTCCGATTATATACCGGAATTGAACCGTTTTAAAGAGGCTCACAGCCTGGTGCGAACTGCAAGGCGACGTTGCATTTCGAGCTGTGATTTGGCTGGGTGGCTTGATCCGTGGTTTGGGACGGATCAGGGACGTCCGATGCGAGGGCTTGGGCGTTTAGAAAGGCCTACGGTCTGGTGTCGGATGTGCTGCGACATTGTATCTGGGACTGCACACTTGACTTGTTTGACCTGAACTCTGCTTAGCGTGCAACAACACCGCGAGGCTGGTGACACACGCTGTAACACCCATGGCCTTTTCGCAATACTTCCCAGCCGCGCGGTGTGCTATTGCCCCATGGACTTACCCCCAGCCCCGGTCGCATGGTGAGAGTCCGTGCCCATCGCACGTTGTGCACTCACCCCATACTTAAGCCATGACACGTCACGAGGCTCAGCGATGAGTGATAAGGAGCACTACGGCGGCGCTTGCAGGGACATGAGTGATGCAGACTGGTGTAAGCTGCCTCGCCGGCGACGTGACGGCCCTGCAGCCTCTTAAGCCGCCCCACTGCGCTCAGATCCCTGAGCCTTGCAGCGGAACGCCCGGTCCCTCCGACACCATCACGACATGTGGAAGGGGACGGAAGCCGTGCAACTGCGCATTCATTCAGCGGCGACGTAAATTGGGGCTGAGTGGCATGGGCTAGCGATAGGGTCAGAAATAGCTCGCCCGGCTAAGTGGTCACTCAGTATAAGTCGGCCGTTGACGCGGCACGACAGTCATAGGAGTTATCCACGGTATGCTGGCAGAGCACCTGCGGCTGCCTATAAGCCGCGTGTTAAGCCTCTGACAGTTCCTGAAGACAAGGATGTGATGTGCTCCGGCAGGTGGTGCTGCCACAGCTGATGACCCAGAATTGTATGTGCCGCTGCCTGGGCAGAGGCGCCACCCATGATCTGGCTCAGACCCGTGGGAGACCGAAGCTCTGCTGAAGACATGCAGCTAAACGCCCACAAAGTGCACGGATGGATGAGTGGTGTTTAACTTGGGTTCTCTTTGCGACAGACGTCGAGCACCATCAAGAGATCACAATTCCCCAGGGACTAAAAGCGACCCGCGCAGGCGACGCTGTTATCCCTCGGACGTCTTCAGCGTACGTCTCCGCCTACCAGTTCCGTGCGTGGTCTGAGCGTCAGCCGGCGCCGGCCTGGCTGCACCCGGCCAGGCGAGCTGGTCCCCGTCAGCAGCGGCTCCAGCGCCCTCTCAGCCGCCGGCCAGGTTAGGGTAGGCAGGCGCGCCGTCAGCCCCGACAGCCTCCCGCTCCTGCAGCATTCCTTTCGCACCGCGCGCCTACGGGCGGACAGTGCTGCGTCGTGGAGGTGCAGCGGCCGCATCAACATTCATCGAAAATACCAGGTCTTAATATATCACCATCGACAGAGGCTCTTTCCGGGAGGTTTGCCACGCTAGCCTTTCTCAGTATTTCCTACCGTGCTCGTGCCGCGCCGGCCGGCCCGCCGCAGCCGGGCTCAGGGGATGCCGACCCGGGCCGACGAGCGCCGTCGCGGATCAGGCGGTAGGCGCCGTATCGGCGAATGATTGCATTGCCTCGAAGGTCGGCCGCCGACGGCTCAGCTGACGACGGTCAGCTCAGAGCTCGACTCAGCTCAGCTCAGAGCTCGACTCAGCTCAGCTCAGAGCGGACACCTCCGGACGACCGGCGCCGGGCGGCCGGATCCGCCGGGCTGGGGTGCGCCGGCCTCCCCGTCAGATACACACAGCCCCTCAATGGAGTGAAACATGCGCTTTTGGTAGAAATTGAGTGCAGGGGCGTGTCCCTTCCATCCAAATCCTTAGCGCTTTATTTGTTATTCATCTCTGATGGTGACTGGTCTGCCTGATCTCGCACAGTCGTGGTCCTCCAGCGTCAGCGGCTCTCTGCTGGCCGCGGTCCTCCGATGTCAACAGTCCTCGGCTGGCCGCGGTCTTCCCATGTCAGCGGTCCTCGGCTGGCTGCAGCCCTCTGTCAGCGGCCCTCGGCTGGCCGCGGTCTTGCCATGTCAGCGGTCCTCGGCTGGCTGCAGCCCTCTGTCAGCGGTCCTCGGCTGGCTGCAGCCCTCTGTCAGCGGCCCTCGGCTGGCTGCGGTCCTTTGTCAGCGGCCCTCGGCCGGCCGCGGTCCTCCAGTGCCAGCAGTGCCCGGGTGGCCGAGCCGCGGCGGCGGCGGACACGCTCGCACCGGCCGCTCAGAGGTGCGCCGCCGGCCACCGACAGTGCCGAGGCCGCCCGCTCCATTCATTAGAGTCGGCTGGAATGCGCGCACGACAGCCGCCAGGCCTCGGCGACCGCGGCGCCCCCCGAACTGTGGCGCACCTGCACGGTCGCTCGCGCCGGCGACCAATTCCTTGCACGAGCCTCCTCGGAAACGGCCTGCCGGGCGGGATTTTTCGCAGCGCCACCGTTCAGGAATGCATACGATCGGCAGCGTGATCTCTGCACGAGTGTTGGCCGAAACCAGCCGTTGGTCGTTATACCATTAGCCGTCTGTGCGGCTGGTGCAGGGCGGTGTGTGTTTAGTGGGCTACCGTTGGCGTTCAGTGGCTGCGCGCCTGCGGGCGGGGTCAGGTGGACGGTGGCAGTGTGGGATTGGGCCGTGACGGACGACGTCCGCCCGTACGGTCCGCTACACGGCCGGGGGTCAGCGGTCGGCCGCGCGGGGCGGGCGCCGGCGGCCGGCCCCCCGCCGACACCGCTACCCTTTGTCTCGGCGTGCGGCCGCTCACCTCCTGAATATGTATCGGCGCGGCCCGAGACACGGGTCGTGCGGCACTCGCCTGGGATCGTCACGAGCTCGAGACCGGAGGCCGATGAGAGCCGGTGGCGGCGGCAGCGTGGACAACGACGGGTCTGGTGCGTCGTCCTGCGGCGCCGGCACCAAATTACGGGGCCAACTCGGGGGAAGTTGGTCCGACGCTTGACGGGGCCGCGGCTCGGTTCAACTTTGCGGGATCAGTCGGCAAGACGGATGTTCGCGTCAGTGTCGGCTCCGTCCGGCACCGCTGTGTATAAATCCCGCTCGACGTCGCCCAGCCCTGCCGCCATGCCCTCGTACATCGGGCGCTTGGCGGGAGGCGCGGGCGTCGTCTGTTTTTGCTGCCGGGGTCAGACGGACGGGAGCGGCCCGTGTCGCAACGTGGCTCCTGTTACTTCTGTTATGAAACGTCGCGTCCGATAGCGATCGCTGGCGGGATTGCACCTTCTCGTGGAGGCCGCGCGCCACCCAGCGCCGCACCCGCGTCCCGACCGCCGCGGCGTGGGAAGCGATTTCGCACTCTTAATTGCTCCACATTTGAGAGCACTTTCACTGGTCGTTAGCCGGAGGGCTGATTAGCCGTGGGAGCCGGCCGCGGCGGGCTAAAGGTGCCAACCGGTGGCAGCCCGCGGCCGTCACGCCGGGCCATCCTTCCGCCGCCAGGTTCGGCCATCGCTCGCCAGGCGGCGGGCCGGTCGCCGCGCTGGTCGGCTGCCGCAGCCCAGCCGGCTGATCAGTTGGTGCCGGTGGTACGTGGGCGCGGGGCGGGGAGTGCCGGTTGCGTGCGGACGTTCCATGCGTACTGTAGAGAGTGGATAATCGGTGAGTCCTCTGGCTGTCGCGGGTCTGTGATCGAGCAGCTCTTGGGCTCCAGAGTGGCCGGCTTATCACAAATCCAGAGCGGCGCGTGGTAGATGATAGCGCCGACGAAAATAAGAAGGCGACATCTTCATAAATCAAAGAATTTGCCGGCCCGCTGACAGGCGTGCCCTTTTTCGCTTATCGCGCCTGTTTGCAGCTGCGCCGATATCGTCTCCTCGCCCACGAGTGGCCTTTAATGTCTGGCCTTAGAGCTAACCAGTTCGCTTCGCCATTTCAGGTCGATACTCGGCGGACCGCGAGCAATGCTGGTCGATAAAAACCACCCGGGGCGGCGGCCCGCCCCGATGAACCTAACCAGCTACAATCAGCTGATGGCCCACGCCGAGCTGGGCCGACACGGGCCGGCCAGCGGCGGACAGAGAGAGGTACGTCCGGCCCGGTGAGGGCGTGCCTCAAGGGTGCCGTGTAGCCACCACGAGGACAGAGAGAGGTACGTTCAGACCAGTCAATGTGTGCTTCAATGGTGCTGTGTAGCCACTGCGAGGACAGAGAGAGGTACGTCCGGTCCGGTCAGGGCGTACCTCAAGGGTGCTGAGCGGCCCCCGCGAGGGGTGTGTCCTTTGACGCTGTGCTCTCCTCAGCCTGCTTTATGACTCACAGTATGGATTTCCTTTGAGGGGTAAATTCCAGTGCTTGGCTGCTGCCAGAGCTGTCTTATATTGGGATTATTCATCGAGTGCAAACCCGAAGGGAAAACCACGTCTCTTCCCCTTTTGAATCATGCTTTCAGTTGAATCTGGTACTGCCGTAAGCACATGGTTGACCAAATATTACAGTGCTGCAAGCTGCAGATGTCTAGGCTTTACAAGGATGTTTAATGAGGAGGGACGGTGACCACTTCTTCCGTTCGAGACGGAGGTAGGCTGGTGTGAGTGAATTCAAGTAATACGAAATTCAATGGAAACGTCCAGCTTGAAATTATTAAATGCATGTCCTATAGTGGTAAATCCAGCATGCACTGTCGTACCGAGTTTGGTCTGACTCTGACTTGTACTTGCACTGAGTGCATTACACTGCACTGACTGTGCATTCAAGTGCCATTCGTAGCTTTCGATGTTCTGTGCTGCACATATGAATCGTCAGCAACATTTTCTGTGGTTCAGACACACATTGTTAGGTCTTCCGAAAATTGGAGGTTTGTGCGACGGCCGAGGGCTTACCTTGCTTAGGTTGTTTCACATATTTCCTGTCATAATGAACAGGTGGTGTAATAATCCCCACATGGTGCCTGTGCTCATTGCATACACTAGCGAATGCCGTATCCCTCGCTTTCTAATAGTTTTTTCTTACCGCTCATTTGTTCAACCGTTTGCTTTCTTCCTGTCTCGCAGGTTGTAGTGGTTGAATACAGGTCTAACCGGTAGCATACCAGCTTAATTGGCCAACAGGGCTTTGAAAAGATCCTGGCGTGGTCCATTATCGCATTGCTAGCAGGATAGGCGTTAAAGCGTTGAGCAAACGGCTCCACACCCCAAGACGAGGCAAGGTCAGCAGTGCACCTGGCGAACCCATGCCATGCTCTGTTGGCTCAGGTCGAGATTAAAACGGTACGCCACTGGAATACAGAAAAGGGAGTGGGAGAGAGAGAGAGGGAGGAGAGAGAGAGAGAGAGAGAGAGAGAGAGAGAGAGAGAGAGAGAGAGAGGAGAGAGAGAGGAGAGAGAGAGAGAGAGAGAGAGAGAGAGAGAGAGAGAGAGAGAGAGAGAGAGGGAGACCACTTCACTCCATGCGGATTGTTGGGGAGCAGCCGCTTCTCAGCGCGCCAAGCGGCAACGCCCTCCCAATGTCAGGCATGAATGCCATCACTTTCGTCTTCCACGCCTGCGAGCGCTCCACACATTCCGAGCTCCCCTCCGCGGCCCATTAGCCACTTGAGCAGATCATCGCTCCGAAGCTGGGCAGGGCTGCTGGTGGCAGCTGTCCGTGGCCGCCGTCGGGCGCGCTCCCCCGACTGGCGGCACCCAGAGAGGTGAGGGGGCGTCCGTCAGCAAACAACTCCTCGTCTCCCGCCGGGAGAGGGCGGGGGCTTCACGCGGGGGTCAGCACGGGCTGGTCCGGTCATGGGCGCCCGTTTCGCCGCGTGCGCGGCCACCGCTCGAGCCGGCGGTGCTGACTCCGGCATTCGTATGCGCTCCGTGCCACCACGTGCGGCGTGCCATCCACGCCAGCTGCGGGCTCCGTGGAATGTCCTCAGCGGGTGCGGCGGTCGGCGAAAAAGTGCCGGCCACCGGGCTCACTTGACCGGCCGCCGATTCAAATTCAAACCGACCCTCGGTGGCCGACGCGTTCGACCCGGACCCGTGTTGTGTCAACGACGCGGCGGCGCGCCGGGTGCCGGGCTCAGGTGCGGCACGGCCGGGCGGGAGCGGCCAGGCTCTGGGCCGCGGTGACCGGACCCCGCCGGAGCAGCCTCAGACGATCGTCCGGGTCCTCCGGTGGCATAGCACGCCCTGTCACGTGGGCATGCGGCGAACCTGGCGCACCGCGCGCGTGTTCTGCCGCTCGTCCTCGTAATGAGCGGCTAAAGCGACGCGGCGCGCGCGGACCATGCTCGCGCCCGTCAGCGTGCGGCCTTGTCGCTGGAGACGTCGGCATGTGCCGTCTGAGGAGAGCCGGCGCCGGTGGCCGCCTGACCCCGCGGAGTCGGCGGCGACCTCGTCCCCTCTGCGGCCGATGTACGCCGGTGAAACAAGGCAGCCTCCGGTGGCGATGTTTTGAATCGTACCCGTAAAAGCCAGCGCCGCCCCTGTTCGATCGCCAACGTGCTTAGAATGCTGTTGGCCGATGGAGATGGCACAGCGCGGCTTACGTGCTCGGATGAGCAGGGCGATGCGCCCCACGGGGGCCTGAAGCAGCATGCTGGGTCAATGTGGAACGGCGTAACATAGGTAGCACATGTGCCCCAAGCAAGATTATCATATTCAGCGATCACCATTTTAGCTATCTGGTTGAGGTGTTGCAGAATAATGCATTACAATTATTGCTGGGGATCGGGTATACAGACTTGGAACTACTAAGCAGGCGTCGAATACCATAGCAATTGTTCAAGATAATTGTCCAGGTATGCATCATTTGGTTATATACGTGAATGCACAATGTGCCAGGTATGCACAGAACACAGCTTGGGCACCCGTGAGGTTACGAAACAACCCTAAAATGTGTCGGACACATCTGCTCCACGCGCTTTATGCCCAGCGGGGGGCGTTTGATAATCACGCCCCAGTTGGGCCATAGCGACGAAAACACGCCGATTAAACATGTTCCGATTTGGAAGATACGCACGTTACGTTCACGGCCGATGCGTTATTAAACGTCAGGTATCAGTCATATGCGGGGCCCCGGAGATAAAAGCGTGTGGAAAACTCCCATCACTTTCCAGGTGTGATCGCGTGTTTGTGATCTCATCTCCTGGCCGCGCCAGCGGGCGCCCGACTGTCGCCGTGAGTTAATGAACAGCCAGCCGTGGGCGAGGCTCCGACTGCGACAGCCCGCATCCGCTGACCCGGTCAGCACCCCGCTCTGCACTCCAGCACCCCGCTCACCGGGTGACCCGGCGTGGAAGCGGCGCCTCACCCCGTGACCCCGCCCCGCTGCGCCGACACGAGTTGACCCTGCGCGGTCGCGGCGGGCGGCGCCGCGTGTGGGACCGCGGCCACCCGTCACCGCCTCTGGTTCGTGCAGTGTTGTAACCCGACAAAGGGCGGGACGGGCCGGCGGCCGGCGCCATATTCTGGCGGCGCCAATCGGTTTGGCGCGGAAAGGTGGCGCGAAATCGGTGGTATTGCGACAGTCGAGTCACGGCTGACTGGGTTCTGTTTGTCTGCCTTCAGTGGGCCCTTCGAATGCGGCTGGCGTCGCGCACCCCGACTCAATCCCGCTCACTTCAAGCCGGCCGCCTCCGTTTCGACCCGTAAACAAGTGTCCCATTTGTCGAGCGCGACGTCCAATCATCAATAATTGTCGTCTGAAGGAGAGGGCCTGCTTCTATTCCTATCACGCCACGACTGCTCGTCCCTGCTCCGGCTGGACGAGAGGCGCGAGGCGCGAGGCGGCCGCTTCGGCTGGGGCCGTCGCTCGAGGAGGACACTTCCAGTGTGCCCGGAGTGCGCCAGAGAGCTGTCAGGTGCATGCAGGCGGTGCCGTCCGTTGGAAATGGCTTCCGGGCGGTGTCTCCTGACCGCGCGCGGCCGGCCGTGGCCCCTCTGGCCGGTACCACGACGGCGAGGTCGGTCGTGCGGCGGGCACTTCCTGCTGATCACACCCGCGGCGGTATGGGTTAGTGTGGCGCTGGGTCAATTGACGCCATCGGACGGCTGTTGCCGCTGCCGTGTCCGTGGTGTAATGAGGATGATTAGTTGGCCACAAACGGAGGCTTTGTACGCGGCTCACGTATTTCTTCGCAAGGACGGTAGGGTGAGTCTTGAGGAAGCCCAGTCGTGCTTTGCAGATGGGCCAGTTGAGTAATCACCACGGACACATCCTGTACTGGTTTCATTCTGTCCACGGACGAAAAAAATACACACTACGTGATGCTATCTTCTTCATTAAACCCGACATTCGGGTCGGTGCTGATAATTATCAAGCTCGTTATGCCAACAAAAATGACCGAACCGGGACGCGGTCGCAGGCCGGGAAGCCCACCGGTCGCCAGTTCCCCCGCTCGGTGCACATCTCCCCGGTGGGAGCGGCGCTCCTGTGCCGCCACTGCCCAGGGCCGCTGCACGACGCATCCTTTGCGTGCACATCTCTCGGGCAAAAGCGGCGCCGGCTTTGTTGAGGGCTCGCTGCACGACGCATCTTCTGCGTGCACAGCCGGCACGCCACCTGGAGAATGTGCGCTGATTTTCAATGCCGCGGTCTGCCCGTCCGTCAGCGGCCCGTCCTTGACTCTGCGCGCCCCGGCCGGCCCCGTCTGTTACCGGCCCCGTCCGCCGGCCGGGCGGGCCCGCAGACGCCGGCCGACCCGCGCCCTTCGGCCGACGCGGGGCGGCATGCAGAGCGTCACACAGCATCCGTCTGTTTCCGCGCGAGGCTCCACACGTGTGGCGTGGCTGGTGCCAAGTGATGCGTCACCACAACGTCCAACAATTGGATAGAGAGCGGTCAACAATTGGATAGAGACAATGAGGCAGGGGCAATGGAAATCCTCGTGAGCTGGGAAAGAGGCAATGGGCTGTTTTATTTGTTTTCAGTCAATTCCCATAGGCCAATGTTTAATTTCCAGAACGTTATGGCGTTCGCACCCCTCCCCCCCCCCCCCCCCCCTCCACACTCTCCCCCTGGTTCTCTCGGCCATCAAAGAGGTCGAAGAGCATGATGCTGTCGCTGGAATAGAGCAGTCTGCTGATACGATATTTGCTTGGCAGCGGTGAACGAGGGGGAGCGATGCGGGACGCATTATTTACGTCCTGTTTGCGTTGCAATGCATTTGTAACTCACGTTGTGCTACGATCGGTGGCAGTCGCAGATTGCGTTGCAACCCATTTACGAACTCGCAGCTCCGCCAAGATCAGCCATCGAAAGAAACTACCTGTGCAAATAATTCCCCACCTGCACGAAGTTGAGTGCGATTGCATCCAATGCACTTGTAGGAAGCAATAACTTAAAATGCATGCTTTTAAAGAATGGCGTTGCATCACATGCGGCACACGGGCTCCAACTGCCCAACTTTTGCCAGCGTGCTGTGCCCGTCTGGTGCGGCCGGGCCTGCCGCCGCCAGCGCGTGTTGACACGCGCCGGAGCCGCGCCGGAGGCTCCCTCCCAGCCCGCCGGCAGATTGGTTCCGCCAGACGGGCCCGGCAAGAAGCGCCGCCGCCACGGGCGGCGAACAAACACGTGCGTACCGGGATTTGTCCGCGTCTGATGTTTAGATTGGAACGACTCTGCGAAAAGCCATTAGGCACCTGTTCGTATTAAACGTATTTGGGCCATCGCTGGGGCTTATCGGCTGGGTTCGATGGGCAGAATTGCAAAAAAGGCAGGGGACTCATTATAAAACAGCACTGACCACTGATTATTGCTACCGGAACTACGTGGTGGCGCACGGTGTTTAGCGCCAATGCTAAGCAACGCATGCATAGGCAACAGCGGCGGTCGACAACGGTATCGACCGTAGGGCAGTCACGACAGCCCGCTTCATTTAATGCATTTATCCCGCCCTCCCGCGTCTCACGCATCGTCTGTTTTCAGTCGGCATTTCCCCAGCCAGAGTTATTGTTTGAGTGAATAACTGTGAATTCAAAGCGAAGCCAGCTTTTCAGTCCGTAATAACGGGTAAGAGTTTGTCTGCGACGCCGAACTCTGAATGTTTGTTATCGTGCCTTCATAACAGAATTGCTATGAGCCTATATTTCGCCGACTAGATCCACTGAAGTTGGACAGCTGTTGGCGTGTTCAACATACTAATGAAGGTAATGTAGTTACGTTGAACAGGGTAGTTTGTTGATCGACGTATCTAGTTCTCGGCGGACTCATATCCAGCTGTAACTAAATTGGCAGCTTTTGGGCAACAGGCGGATTACTCTGCTGCCGGTTGGGTGTGCGGCTGCGCACCCCTTTGATCATTTCAGCACGCGCAGAATGATCGCGTATTTGAGCACTTCATTGCAGCTTGGTTGATTTTCAAGCTTAACATGATGCCGATTTTCTTTCTGGCTTTTTCGGCCGAAAGTTCAGGTTGGCTGTTATCATAGCCTCTCGACCAGCATCCAACTGATTGTACTTCCTACCTTCCCGTGTCTCCGACAGTGTCGGTTAGGCGCAGCGTACCAGAACGAGAGCCTCGCCACCGCCACTGCATCCTGGCCAATTCCCACCCCGGCCACCGCGTCTCCTGCTCGAGGCGTTGATACCCCGGTCGGAAGCACGGTAACGCTCACCTATGGCCTGTTGCATGGGCTGGATGAGACTGGTGTTCTTTAGCCACGCTGTAATTTAGATGAACGGTCCGGTCCAAATGCAACAATCAGATAGCAATTGCTGCAGCTTGGACTGAGAATCCATGGACGCAAATCGGAGAGGAATACGCTGCCCTATGGCCCCCGCCGTCCTCCAGCCGCATTACAACCAGGCGATGTCGTCTCGCGCCGCAGAGGTCACCAGCCAATGCCGCACCGGGGATCCGCCTCAGTCGACGTGGGCCCCATCAAGGAGCCCGCGTGCCGCACTCCTGCATGAGCTGCAGATGCCGATCAGCGGCCGCCCCGGGCTGGATGCCGAGGCAGGTTCTGCCGCAGCTCACGCCCGCGGGCCGCCTCGGATGGTCGGGCCAGCGCCGATAGTCGTCGATCTATGGGCTGGAGGAATCCCGTCGGCATGCAGCGTATGAAGACGCCAATCACGAACCGTAAATTATAGGCCAATCAAGCAGCCCCATAGTTTATCCGCACATTGACTAGTACCGCAGAACTGCTCAGCTATGGTTTACCAACTGCGCCTGCGAGTCCCTGGGTGGGTGCTACTCGTGTGGCGTTTTCTCCGCGAGATGTGCCGTCGTGAGAAAGCGTTATAGCCTGTCAGACCGGCCTCCAGTTTGGGCTATCGTGCGTGTCCTTTCGTCTGACATAGCCGTGTCCCAGAGCCAGCTCCGTTTCTGGCCTGTCTGCTGCCCACGCCTTGGTATCGCTCAATCGCGGATGATGGTGTCAGCGATCAGCTCTGTCGTCAGCCTGTTGCTGTCACGCTGTCGATCGTGCCAAGCGTCAGCACATAAACCAACTGGCAGCGGCTCCACCAAACCACACAGCTGACCGCAGACGCGTCAAGCAATGTGGCTGACGGCGAAGGCGGTCTGCCGGCTCAGAACGGCCGTGCGATTGCCTCATCGGCCGCCGGGACGGCTCCGACGTCTCCTCATCTGGCAGCCGCCACGGCTGGCGGCGCCGGGGCGACCGAGCGTGGCTGCCGTCTGTCAGACTCCCGCCGCTCTCATCTGTCAGATCGCCACGGCCGTAAGCTGCGCGGCTCTGCCGTGCTCACGGGCGTCACGCCGACGACGGCTCGGGTTCCTGGCGTCGAGCCTCGCCGCGCTATCTCTGTTGCGCCGGCCGCGCGAGGTGACAGCTTCGCCCGAAGACAATACCGACCCAATCGGCGGATGCCACCTTTTGTTGGCGACTTTCTCGGACGGCGTTCGGCTCCCTCCAGCGCGGCGCTGGCTCGTTGCTGAGGGACGGGACGGGCGACCAGATCCCAGATAACACACTCATCAACCGCTGCGAGAATGCTCCCGAGATGGGACGAACTTGTGTTGAAGTGTTGACCACAGCGGCGTCCGCTCTCACCAGGGGGCTGGCTTCACCCCTGTGTGTGGTCGTGGCTCCTGTTCGCTGCCGGCTAAAAGCTGCGAACGATGCCGACTCGCCCGTGACTGTAGCGGCGATCGAATCTCGGTGTCGTGCAGAGGACCGGCGGCGGCGGTGCCACCCGGTTAGTGGGCCACCACCGAAGGCCACCGGTCGGCTCTGCATGGAGTCGAGTCCGGCTGCACCGGGGTCTCGGCACTTATCGCGATGTGTGCTGGTCACGCACTGGCAACGGCTGCTGCCACCCGGACCCATCCTCCGCGGTCAGGGCGGCCTGGTGGGTCGCAGTCGAGCTGCAGTGAAGGCTGTGGTGAATGGCTGGAATGGCTGAGTCGGTGCGTTGCCGGCCCGAGCTGACCCGGACAGGAAGGAAATGTTAGTCACTCGCTCTCCAAGGTGACTCATCGACCATTTAGCATGGCCTTCGATTCCACCAATATGGCAGTGCTACGGTCGACTGCCCTTTTACCGCGGCAAACAAACGTTAAACGCTCATATTTGCTTCCGAGTGGCCAAATGGTGAGTTTTCACCTTGCAGCGATGCAATGTGCTGGCGCTCTGACCAACTTGAATGAGAGGCTAAGGTGTGCCATTGATGCCGAGCCCTACGACTGTCTGATCGGCACTGGTCGGTATCCACTTATCCGGGCTGCCCACTCCACCGCGGAAGCACTCACAACATACACGTAACCCAGGGGCGTGAAATCGACTGGCGTGAAGGACTTAGCGACGGGCCGGACTTGACAGCTGTTCTGTGCTGTTGACAGCAGGGTGCTGTTCTGTGTTCCTGTTGCAATGGCTCTGTCGCGACAGCCGCAGTCTAAAGGCCGTTGGTCTGACCATGCTCTGTGATGGTGGCTGCCTGATATACCCGCCAAGCATCACAGGATGAGAGCTGGGCACACTAACGTATTTTATAGCATTGAGCTACTTATTTTTATTGGCGTAACTTGTATCTATGCGATAATATTGCCGTGCTGTACACAGTCACATATTTTTCACGATATCTGCTGTCAATAAGCTAAACGGGATTTTTGGTAGCCACCAGTTGAGCTACAGCGATTGAGTAATCTGGTTTCGCCAGTGTTTTAAGCTGAGCCTTACATGTTACCCTCTGCAGCTCCTGTTATCGTCATGGAGAAAGTGGACAGAACAACAAGCAGGAGTTCCATGCGTGTTATTCGTCTTAACGACATTAACAGTGTCCAGTTTCGCAGTCTTTTCATGCAATCGCACAGACTTGAGAGCAAATCCGACCGAATTGTGAGCAACCGCACTCCTTTTCCACAGGTCTCAGCCGTTAACAAGCCTAACAATGCTCCTGCCGCTTTACGCCAGGGGCCCTGCGGGAGTGAGATGTAATCAACGCCAGCAAACGTCCGCAATCCGAGTAAAGCACCTCCAAACTCGACGTCCCACGGCACAATCGCGGCATTCCTTAACTCCCTTCACAGTGGCAGTACGTGTGCCCCGCGTCGACGGCCCCTCACACGACCAAATAAGTCCTGAGCCGGTCCTCGAACTCGTGCCGTCGCCAGCAGATTATTGCGTTTTTCGTGGCCGGCGGACGGCGCCACGCCACCGCCGCCGCCGCCGGCGCCGCGCGCCTGCACCGTCCTGACGGTGACGTCTGCCGTCTGCAGATGTCGCCCGGCCGGGAGGGCGCCGCCGACGACGGCTGCACGCTCCGGAAGGCGGTGCTCTGGTACTGCAAGGACACGCTGCTCAGCCGCTGGAACTGGAAGGAGCGCTACTTCATCCTCACCGCCGACTACCTCTCCTGCTTCAAGAAGGCCAAGAGCCAGTATTCGGACATGGGGGCCTTCCTGTTCAAGGTACGGGCGCGGAGAACGCGGAGACTACTGCCAGGAGGGTATGCAGTATCTGGTCCTGGGAGTGGGGGAGAACGTGGAGACTACTCCCAGGAGGGTATGCAGTATCTGGTCCTGGGAGTGGGGGAGAACGCGGAGACTACTGCCAGGAGGGTATGCAGTCTTTGGTCCTGGGAGTGGGGGAGAACGCGCAGACTACTGCCAGGAGGGTATGCAGTATCTGGTCCTGGGAGTGGGGGAGAACGCGCAGACTACTCCCAGGAGGGTATGCAGTATCTGGTCCTGGGAGTGGGGGAGAACGCGGAGACTACTGCCAGGAGGGTATGCAGTATCTGGTCCTGGGAGTGGGGCACAGCTCATTTCTTCTGCTAAAAGATCCAGTTAGCGCGCTGCAAATGCACACAAATTATTGTTTGGCATGAAACAACGTCGTGAGTTCTCAGTCTCCTTATTTTTATGTGCTTACCTCGAATTCATGCCAATATTTATTCACATCCATATTCCGCATGCGAACATTTGAGAAGGGGGCGCGTTTCGCCGTTTCCATTGAACAGCCTCCTGGTGGCCACCTCCGGCGGGGAGCGGCGGCCGTGACACGCGGGGGCGGCACCACTCGTGGGACGGGTGCTCCCCGGTGGGAACGGCGCCGGCCTTTGTGCAGCCGTGGGTGCACCGTTCCACGGCGGCTGAGAACCGCGAAGCGCGCTCAGGGTTGTGCAAGATATTTGTGTAACCACGATGTCTGTTACCGTCGCCCGTGAGGGCTGTCATTTTCATCGCGATCATACGAATGCGCATGTGCTGTGCCGTTCTCACGCCTTCGTTTCGCATACGTTTGCTGCGATTGTGGTGAGCTAACTCGATAAGCTTTCATTTCGCTGTGTGAATCGTAGTCGTAGAACCCGGATCTAACGGCACTCGTAAAACGTGACGCGTGCCATTCGCTACAGCATATTTCTTTCATCATCAGGTGGTCATGCCTTGTAGACCGGAGTAAACCGTCTAGTACTACACTACGTCCTGCATAAATTGCTAGGCATTTGTCCCACGATATTTTATTGTAACGAAATAGCTGCGAGTTTGCAAATCCGGTTTCACATCGGCCTAATAACCCACACCAAAGCGCGGCCGAGTTACGATGCGGCCGATGTTCCTTAACTCCCTTTGAGTATATCCATATCGCCCACACGGTAACGTCACGTTGATGTCACGTTCGTACCCTTTCGACCCATTACCTGACCTGAATCACAGTTGTCTCGGATCTCTCTCTGAAGGCGGCCTGACCCGACCTGACCCGCAGCTGTCTCTGATCTCTATGAAGGTGGCCTGACCCGACCTGACCCGCAGCTGCCGCTGGCCTCTCTGACCGGTATTGAGTGGCAGAGAATGCGGGGCCAGGCGGCCGTGGCCATCTGCGACCCACGCGAGGGACGCATACTGATCAGAGCCACGCAAGACGTCTTGGACCAGTGGTACAAGGTGAGTCATGTTGCTCTGCTGTAATGTTGCCAATTTGCGACGTCGGCTATGACCTCCGACATTGACAGTGTCATTAGCTTGCACGTTTTGTGCCATTATCTGGCGACTGGCCCTTCATTCAGTGACCTAGATGAATGTAGTCTGGTATTAGCGTCAGATACATTTACGTCTGGGTATAATGGTCAGCCTTCGCACCTGGCTGTTGCGTAACGACGCAGAGAAAAATCCAAGCCCTGTACCGACTTTCAATAGAGCCACTTAGTCGGTAACGTTTGTGATTAGGTTAGCCGCAAAAAGATGCCGACATGACCAGAGTGTACATAGATGACCCAGCTGCAATTAGTCGTCCAATTCGCCATGGCGTCGCCGTCTAGCGAATTGTGGTTTTCTTGTGTATGTGCTGACTACGATTATGCAAAAACAATCAGATCTGGCAGCAGTTTTTGCAGAGCTTTTAAGAGCCGCTTATCAATTTATTGAGCTTGAGTGCTTGCGTGCCCTGAGTGGCATGTTCCGTCCGCGCTCGTAGAACCCCGCGGGACCTCGCAGCCCGAGCCTGATTTCCTTCCCGGAAGTTTCACTCTTACCCGTCTCGCGGCATCATACATTGACTTCTCATTTGCCACGGATGTAGGCTTTTCACTTTCTGTTGTCGTCGGGCAAGCCGGCCTCTCCAACACCGCCGCAGTGGCACGAGACGAAGGGCATTCGCGGCTTCACACGGTCGTGACCCGCCCGGGAGCCGGCCCGACGCGGGGTGGCGCCGCGTCGCCGTCTCTCGCCTCGGCCCTGGCTCCTGGACACTCATCACGCCCAGCAATGGACGCCCGCCGACAGCGTTGGCTAACGTAATTGGCGCGTTCGGCGTCGCGCCGCGGGTGTCATCACCGGCCATTTTATCAGCGGCGCCAGCTGCAAGCCCCTGTTTACCGCCGACCTCGTTTTATCGATGTTTTGTGCGCCGGGTCTGAGTAGGGGCCGATTCGCGGAGCGGCGGACTGTTTAGCGCCGGGTTGCGGCTGGCGACAAGCGCAGAACGCACTTCCTGGCTGCTGACGGTGTCCGTGGCGCTGTGTGTTCGGACTGCAAGCGGCCTGGCCTGGGTTTTGTCCGGGCTTAGCAGGCGGTGGAGCGGACCCGGCTCGCTGGACCCGGCACGTGGTCCGCAGGCCAGCTCCAGCCGCCGGGAATAGTCCAGCGCGGGTCACATGTTTCATTGCGTGCTGGCCCAGGGGATTGGGCGCTTGTCTTATTAGGCCAAATTGTTTCAGACTTGCTTCGTTTGCAGCGCTGCTGGCGGTCACATGTTTGCCTGGAGAGAGGTTTTGTTTCGAGGGATCTTTTGCACCTACTTGGATGTATTTCTGTGCCTAAGTGCCTGACCGGAGTTTCGCATTATTTCGCTCCCGAGCAGTGTGCGCTGGCTGCGGCGCTCACCTGCCAGCGCGGTCGAAGTCTCGTGAGAGCATCAGCTGCTGTCACCTGCAGTCCTCATTCCGTAGCTAGCTAGCTGAAGCCTTCGCTTGACTACCCGCGGCGCTACTCAGCTTGTTCTGCAGCTTGGGCATTCATATGAAATGTGATGCGCAGCCATTTGCCAAGCATCCTGGTAGTTCTATTTAACCTCCGAAGTTAGAAAGTTTTACCGCAACTTACATCAAAACTGTATGCCATGAATTTCACGAAATGGATCATTAGGAAGCAGAACGTCATAACTCAAGACGTGCCTCGACTTCACGCCGAGGCTGAGTGGCCTGCAGTTCTGCATAAGGGCCGACGTCGCTGCGGTGCGGTTATCCGCCAGTGCGGATGCGTCTGTCCCGTCCGCCGGCTCCTCATCACCCGGTCAGCCCCTCCAGTCGCGGACTTCCGTCCTTGTAAAGCCGGAGCAGCGGAGACGGCGCCTGTGGCACGCCAGGGCGACCGCGGCCACCGCCGTGTCCTGTGCGCTCCATGACTGCGGCTCAGCATCGGAAGTTATGGACGCCGGGCGGCCTTAACTATGCATTAGCCGGGCAGCCGGCCGGCTACTGGAATCGCCTCGCTTGCGATGGATCGGTGCTGTGTAGCGAATCAAAGCCGGCTAGGCTCGCCCCGAGCCGGGCGGAATCACTTCCGATGCCATTTAGCCGGGCGCTGGTTAATATTTACGGCCGCCGTGACGTCAGGGACGGTCATTGCGGCAGCGGCCGACGATGCGTCTGTCTCCGGAGAGGATGTGGGTGCGGCTGGGAGTGACTGCGGAGGCTGGGAGAGGCCGCACTGGGCTGGGACCGGCGGAGGGGCCGCAGGGGGCTGGCTCGGCGGGCGGTAGCGTCGCCGCCGCTGAGCTGGCGCTGGCCCTGATCAGCTCCTGGGCCAGCAGCGCCGGCGGACGCCACCGATCGGATGACGTCCGCTTCAGGTGGCAGACGGGCGCCTTTGTCAGCCTGTGACACTCGACACTGACCGACAGAGCTCGCTGCTGGACGGCGACAAGACGCATGGGTCCTCCTTATAAGCGGCGGTGACACGGCTGGCGGGCGGCGGCTGGCGCTCCCACGCTGCGGGGAATCGCCCTATTGCAGACGACCGGCGCGCGGGCGAGGCTGTCTTCGGCGCCGTTCCGGGCAGCGCCGGCCGCCGGCCGCCGCACAGTCCCGTTCATCGCTCCATTAGACATCCGGGTCGAGGCGCGGAGGTCGCCCCCTGCAACAGTGCCGTCGTCCCGGGTAGTGCGGCGTCGGTGCCGCGGCAGCGGCGGGCCGCGCGGCCCGGCGGCCTGCCGTTCCGGTTATGCGCCCGAGGCGTCCGCCATGTGACCTCCGTGACCCGCGACGGGGCCGAGCCACTGCTTGGACCCGTCCGTTGTCCGCTGCACTGGCAGTGCGCCGGCGGGACACGCAGCCCCGGTATGGATCCAGCCCCCAGTTCCGTCTCATGGGAAGTGCACAGTTCCGGCGCGACGACGCCGGCACAGTGGCGCCGCCAGCGCGTCGGCGGCCGCTCTAGGCCAGCTTGCCGCGGGGCGGTGTGATCGGGTCCGATCGGATCAGATCGGACCCGTTTCTGAGCGGCGCCGCGCCGCTCCGGCCGTCGATAGCATCGCCGCCGAGCCCGTTAGATAAAAAGGCGGCCCGGCATGCGGTGAGGGCGGACGGACCGGTCCCGTGCGCACCGCTCTGCCGCACCGCCTGTGCTGCTCCGCGTGCGCACAGCCCGCCCGAGGGTAGGCGACGATTGGACAACCTGGGTGCCAGCTGACGTCTGGGTCATTCTTCGGCGACGGTTGAGAAAAGTGCTGATGAGGGTTCCCCGCTAGGTGTTTGGTTCTAGCTGGCTGTAGAGTCCCCGGTGGCGTAGGTGACATTTTATCATCACCGTCGCAACTTTTGTACTCCTCTGTGCACTCCAATGAGGTCTAAAATACTGAGCCATTCCCGAAAAATTTTCGGTTTTTCCCACCGGACATGAAGATCGTTGTAACAGAAAGCCGATCAAAGACGACGCATTGTTAAGAAGTAGCATACCCTCTAAAGCATGGCGACAAAATTGGCTGACTAGCCCTTTGCACTGGCTGGGGACAGCGGTCTATGCTTGCAGAGAGGATTAGCCGTTTTTTCATGTCATTAGGGATGCCACAAAAATTAAATGCTGCTCATTGTCCAGGGTTTGCCACTCTGCGGCTGGAGTGTCCAGGAAGCCCCCTTCCTAGAGCGACTCCGCGTCCTCATGCCACACAGGCGACTAAGCGTCAGATGCTGACATGGAACGATGGTGATGTTTGTGGTGGTGCACCGCAGGGGCCACGGCTGACTGATCTACATGCTGGCTTATGAAGAGGCTGTTGTCTGACGATCAACGCGAGTGAACAGAACTTTGATAAAGTTGACCGCTGCCGAATCTGAAAAGGAATGTGCATGACTAGCGAGCAAGGACTGCCTGATCGGAAATCATAGACTCGCTGACTTGGACATACGCATCGCTCAGATCATGCTGCTTCTGGATGTGTGAGCCGTTTCCTTGACAATATCCTTCGTCCGGTAGCGTTGGGGGCTATGGAATTCAAATAGATATGCCGCGATCAGTCCACTTCTCCACCGTTGGTCATTAGCGGGATATGTTGGCCTTTGTTTGTTCCTGGAGTGATGCATCATTCAAACATTCCGAAGAAAGATTCGGTATTGGACTTCAACCAACAAATCTCGCACGAGATCTGGTTGCCTGGCTTGCGGCGCCGTTTCTTGTGTTCCGCCTTTGTTTGCTGACAAGCACCGCATTCTAATGCAAGGCTAAACTTTTTTGCGCGGAGGCTAAAAGCGACCCTGATGCCGTCCTCTGCAGAGGTCAAACTGTGTCAGCGGCCGCTCAACGCTTCTCCCGGTTGAGGGTCATGAGTCCCTCGGCGCGCTGAGGTCATCGCTCTGGAGCTGTCAGAGCGCTCGCCTGGTCCGATGACGCGTGCTTGTGATCGAATCTAAAGCCTTTGTGGTCAGTGGAGGAGTTGGATCCGCTAGATGGAGCCCCGACGCGGCTGCATCAAACATCTAGTTAACGAAAGGCCTTTGATCTCTCACTGGAATGTTTGCAGGAAAGCAAACTGTTGTTTTGTACCGTCATGCCATTGTTATTGAGAAAATCGTAATCATCCCGTAAAAGCAAAGGTGATGCGCAGTTTGTACCTCCGTCTGCGGCGTTTGCTGTCCTCTGCGCCACTGAGTCGCATCATGGCCAATCTAGCCTTCCCTGTGCTGTACCTGAACCGACTGTTCGTTGCATCCATGCTGTTCGTCATCTTTCCATAGTGCCTTCTTTGCTATACATCCCATTTTGCATATTTGCCATTATCCCTCCCTATACAAGGTCATTTGTCATGTTTTTTATGTTGTCTTTCTGTCGTCGTTTATCGATCAGCGGCTGGCCCTGCAGCACAACTGGTGGAGTGTTAGACGCTACAACCAAAGAGTGGCCGGCGTTTGGGTTCGCATCCAAGAAAACGCGCTTCTGTGGGCCGTTTTTGACAATCAGCTGGTAACTGAACAAGGAAACAGGGCTGAAACAGAGCCGGCCATGTCACGGCGTTGCGTAGCGGATTGAAATAGTTGCACTACGGCAGGCTGTTTTGTGAACTGGAAATTCTCCTTCCGGTTTTGGGGTTAGGGTTTTGCAACAAGCTGCGTTTAACAAAGACTATTGATCCAAGCCTATTCCTGCAAAACAGTGGGGCAAGTTTCTTTAAAAGAAGCCACGCCTAACTTGCGCTGTCAATGGCATAACTACCACACCCTTGTCCTCACCACCGCTCTGACACCAGCCGTCGGTGCCCTCCGCAGGCCCTGAAGCAGGCGGCACGAACATCACCCTGTCCTCGCCACTGTTCTGACACCAGCCGTCGCTGCCCTCTGCAGGCCCTGAAGCAGGCGGCACGAACATCACCCTGTCCTCGCCACTGTTCTGACACCAGCCGTCGCTGCCCTCTGCAGGCCCTGAATCAGGTGGCACGAACATAACCCTGTCCTCGCCACTGTTCTGACACCAGCCATCGCTGCCCTCTGCAGGTCCTGAATCAGGTGGCACGAACATAACCCTGTCCTCGCCCCTGTTCTGACACCAGCCGTCGCTGCCCTCTGCAGGCCCTGAAGCAGGCGGCACTGACATAGCCCTGTCCTCGCCACCGTTCTGACGCCAGCCGTCGCTGCCCTCTGCAGGCTCTGAAGCAGGCGTCCGAGAGCAGCCGCGAGCGGCGGCGCTACTTGCGTCTCTCTAGCACCAACCTGTCAACGCTGGGGCTGGCAGCGGTCGGCGGCGGCGCGCGGCCAGCACTCAGCGACTCCAGCCCGGCCATCGACCGGCTCTGCGAGCGGGTTGAGCGCGAGGTGTGGGGTGCCGGCGGCTCGGCCGGCCGCCTCATGCGCCGCCAGAAGAGCGAGCTCGACGCCGGTGTCGTGATGAGGCGTCAGCTGCACTACGCCAGCCAGAAGCGTCTCAACCGGCACTCGAGTGAGTGGCAGCACGAGACGGGGGGGGGGGGGGGGGGAGGCGGTCCGTCTCAGCCGAAGCTCCGACGGAGGGAGCGCTGCCTGGGAGACGCTGTGTCTATGACTCTTAGAGATGGGGCTTCGGCTTGGATATATGGAAGCGGCTGCCTCCGTCGTGGTGGTCCATAGTTGAGACAACAGCAAGTATGTGAGGTGATGTCATGTTTTCTTCCTTCAGATGTTTAACCTCCGCACTAGCAGGAAACCGTCGGGCCCTTTATCATGCTACATGCGATGCTGCTTAAAATGCAGTACATTAGGTTGAGCTGAGAAGATCGAAGGGTGCTAGCAAACTGGCGTGACCTCTGTTGCAGTGATGCCCGAGATTGACATCTACAGCCCCGGTCATCAAGTCTCCACTGACGTCATAAGTCGCAGCAACATCATTCGGAGACACAATGACTCTCTCGACTCAGCAGGTTGGTGCTCTCCTGGAGCATTTGTCGTCTTTGCATACAGGTGGCATCCACTCACGTCAGTGGCTCATCTGAGGCTTGTGTTCAGTTCCGTTCCAGCGGAAGGGATTCCGGTTTCACCGTGCAGTGCATGGGTGGCCTGCAGTACCGATTTCAAACAGCATAGCACAACTATGGGTCAACTCCCATTTCGGGTTCATGATGTGGGTTAATTATGGAATCGACCGTGATGGGGTTGATCCTGTTGACGTAAGGTTTTGAGAAAGGACGTGTTACGCACTCTCAAATACCCGCCAGACCATTTATTCTGATGGTAGGAGAGTGGTATATGGCCGTCACAGCTGATGCAAATTAAGAAATTGGCCTAACAAATAATTATGTCAGCTACGTCTCATTTTGTGGGTTTTTAAATAAAGATTTCAACGTGCAGGTCTACCAAGCCCATGTTTAGTTTCTAGCTTATCAGATTACCATTTTTCCACGCTCGACAGGTCATTCTCCTTCCACCACCCCCTCCAAGTCATCTGTCAGCAGCTCCGAGGGCTCCTCCGTGCAGCTGAGGGGTGGCCCAGGTGGCGCTAGCCTCTCCCGTGGCGCCGGTATAGATGGCAGCACCACCGGCCAGCGGACCAGCTCCGTACGCCGTCGGAGTCGGGGCCGCACGCCCACCGGCGTCCACGGAGACCAAATACGGCCGCAGAGCATGGTCTGCGACGGATCTGGCGACTCGACCGATGTGGTGATGCGCAAAAAGGGTGGGTGAAACGCCCTTGACGGCGTCGGTCTGTGCATGTATTCTTCACTGGCTGTAATGGTAGACCGGCACGCTACGCGGCGTACCGCCGGTGTTTGTGATTTTTCATAAGTTCTTTACATGTGGGCGGAACTAGTGCAACATCTTTGCTAGAAAATCGTTGCAGATAATCGCAATCGCGCGTGAGTTTTTGAGCCGGTGCTGTCAGCGGCAGTGTTCGTGTGCGTGTCTTCCAAGTGCGAGCTCCCTGACGGCCGGTATGCTCCTCCTCAGACCGCACCACGCAGCTACGTCAGGAATACCGCGTTCAGAACCGGCGCAGCTGTGACGTTACGCTCCTAAACCGACGCTCAGCCTACCTGGCCCAGTACGAACATTGAGCCGGCGGCGGCGAAGCGGCGACACTGCGCTTGACCCAGCTGGACGAGGATGAGGCGGACCTGACTCAACTCAACCTTACTCAACTGAACCCGGTTCATCAGAGCTTCCAGGGTTTCAGCGCGCTGCGAACTGAACGCCTGCTGCGGATGCCAGGCTCCGTCGCCATTGATTCGGCTGAAGACTCGGTGAGCCCAGACAGTGCCAGAGTGTGATAGCCCGTGTGGTGGCAGTTGTGCACAGGCCACCCGCCGCTGCAGGCATGGAAAGTTGGAGCAATGCTCCGCGGTTTGCGGGACGCTCATCTGAAAGGCTTTTAACCAGGTCACAACTCACCATGTCACCTGCCGACAGGTGCCAAACGCTGGTGGACAACGTGCAGATATCTAGATGTGTTTAGCATGGGGTAGCCAAGTCTTTGTGCAGGATCAAGCGCGAAAATGCGGATTTGTTGGCTCATTTCCTGGCTGTGCATGCGCCGGTATTCCAAACTTGTTTGTGTTTCACGATATCCCAGGCGCGTTTTCGGCTGGTGTAGTGAACTTTCAGCTGCTGGTGACCTTGGTCTTGACCTGTTCACCCTCTGTCCCTGTCTGTCCCTGCATGCTAAGGGTAGACCCAACCTTCCGAAAATTTGTTCAGGATAATCTCTTATTGTCCCGTGCATGGTGCGTGATTTGTGTCGTGTTTACGCATTTATTTAATGTTCGTTAACCTATGACACAATGTGATAAGTGTTCTGTGTTAACAATAAACCGCCAATGTCGGCCGGCGTTTCCTTGTTCAGCTAAAGCCGCCATCGACCGGCTACGGTGATTTGGTCTGAGGGGATTTGGAAATTACATACAGCGTTACACCTGCGATGAAGACTTACAATGTCTGCTACGCGAACCATGTTAGAAAATCTTAGTGTGACAAAAGAAATACAGTTATACTACCTATGTAAGGTGATTGAATGCATAACATTCGTCACCTGATGAAGGATTTTCGGGATTAGTCGCTACCTTCATTGTGTGGCTGTCCACATGTTACAGTACGCATGACAGGTAACACCTCCACTCGGTGCGTGAAGCGATCAAAGCACACAAGCGGGTGTTTGTTGCCATTAGATGTGACCGGGTGTTTGTTGCCGGGTGTTTGTTGTCATTAGATGTGACCGGCAGATGAAACAAACATCGATTAAAATCCTTCCCTAGGGCTCAGAGTCGTAGATCAACCCGTAGGCGCACAGGGCCGCGGAACGAGAAAGCTACGGGCACAGCCCTTGTCCCATCGCTGGCAAAGCTGCTGCACATCAGCGGCCGCCGACGGCCAATAATAAAGCGGTTCCAGCTGGGCCATTCTTTTCATGGGTTCAAAACGTCCACCACATGGCCCAGCATGCACGGAGGTCAGCACACCGGGGAGGAGATTCAGAAGTCACGACCTGTAGTCGCTCAGGGCAGTGGGGGGGGGGGGGGGGGGGGGCGCTTGTACACACGGAACAACACCCCTTCCAGCAGGCGATGCCGCTGCTGCTGTCGAAGCCAAACCCGCACTCCGAAAGGCGCGTTGCGCCTTTGTAGACGCAGGCCCGTAGCCATGTTTCGTGTCACCTCTGCGATGGCCTTGTCACCATGGCGGGCAGACTGGGTGTGTAACTCAAGGCCAGTCCTGAGCCGACGTTTGTCGACAGCTTGCCTCTGAGGCCTCTGAGGCCTCTGAGGCAGTCTGAGGCAGGCAGCTTGCCTCTGAGACGGTCTGAAAAACTGTCCGGGTGGTCTCTGCGGGTCACCTACTTAGCTCATCAGCAGCAGCGCTCTGAACACAGCGCCGAAGCATAATGTCAACTTAAAACCAAGGACCTTCAGCCACCTGACCGGCGTTCCAGATGGGCTTGGAAATTTCACAAGACATGAGCAAATATTATGATCATTCCGAACCTGTCACCGGCCGCAGGCCATCGCAGTCAAGGGTAAACAGCGTGGGTCTAACGCGACTCGAACCCACCCTTCCACGGGTGGGTGGGTCGGAAGGCCATACATTAGAGACCATACGACCTGGCCATTGCTTTGACAGCACGATCGTTCTGAACGGAGGTCCGTGCTTTGTGGCCGTGTGACGTGTCGTTTTAAGCCTTATAAATATGGTTACGATGTCGTTGCGATGCCTAATAGTTCGTCAGGGCATAGTTTGTCAACATGTTTGCACAAAATGTCTGCTGTACTGCACTTCAGTTCAACAGATCCCGCCCCTCAAGGGCATCGCCAGTCAGCCGCAAGCCCCAAACACCGAGGCTGTCTGATATGAGGACCTCAGGTACGGCCACTGTGCTATTCTGCCGCAACTCATAACGAGAAGTGGCCTTGGGCTCCCGTGCGTAGCTCCTGCCGGTTAATTCGGTAATCACGCCTGCACTCTGTAATGCGAGGCCGCGGTTCGCGCCAGCCGAGGCGCCGCAGGCCCAGGGAGCGGTCCAAGTCGGGGAACTCGAGCAGTGCCACGGTTTCCAGCCTGAACGACCCGGTCCGACGACAGACCGCCACACGCAACAGGGTCGTAGGTTTGCAGCCAATGGTCTCAGCTGCATATAGTTTTCAGCGACATGAAGCGCACTTTGAAGGATTGTGGATGTTACGTGCACATTTAAGCCCTTCCCTGATTGGCCGTTTTTCATGACGCGGACTGGTAAGGGGGGAGGTTAAGGCGACCCCGTGGCGTTTCCAACGTGATAAAGATAGAGTTTAATGACTTCAGTAGATTGGGCTCAAAACGATCTCGCGATCGGTACCAGTTTTTACGTTGTTAAGTCAAAAATTGGTCCCATTATGGCAGATCAAAGGTCGAAACTCCCAGCAAACCGCACTTTTTAGCTTCAGATCATACCTACGAGGTCATGCCTTGTGACAGCACAAAGCTTAACTAGGCGCGTTCCTGTTTAGCTCCGAGTACAGCTGTGTATATTTGTACGCGTTTTGAGCATACATTTATGACATGTGGCTCCATTCTACGTCATCGTCGGTTGCCGCCCGCCGCCGGCGCCGGCCGTAGATTACGTGCTGTGTTCATAAAAAATTTTCGCCTCTCATAAATCAGAAAAACTAGCATCATGACACTGCTGTCAAAACACGCGCAATGGTTGTCCCATAGGCTACTGAAAAGTTGAGCGCCATTGCACAACGTGTCGGAGAAGCATTTTCCAAAAACCTTAGGGAGTTGCAAGTCCCCCCCCCCCCCCCTATTTCATCCGGGCCGTTTGATCAGATGTGGTTTCAACAAAAATCGCACCGTGAAAAATAGGTTGTCCTATTTCAATAAGATGTGAACTGTAAAGCTGGCCGGCTGCAAGAAGGCTGTACAGCACGGTATGGCTTTGGTACCAGACCTCGGTGACCAGGGACCGCAGCGACATGAGGACAACGCCATCTGCCTGAGAATGGAAATCATACTGGCAAAGACACTGGCCAGTGTGCAGAGCTGGTCATATGGGTTTCATGTAGCACAACCATGCAAACTCTGCATTTGTCGCGGTTGTGTGTTTCAAGGACTTATACTTGGTATAAACAAAACACCCTGGTCCTTTTGTTTTTCATCGATACGAGCATTTTGTGACAGAAATGACTGACCTTCAATATCACAATACACCTGCTGAATTGTGTGATGTATTGCAATGATTGCTCGATATTTCCATTTAAACAGTATCTCCTGGTCCAATGGAGGTCGCTTTTGTCAGCAAAGGAATCATGCCGAAAATTCATGTCAGATCTCGGCAACAAGAGCAGATGTTAACGTGAAGCCGACCGTACGGCGTGGGCGTATGTACCGCGTACAAACCGCTAGACGCATGGCTGCGCTGGGAGTCAACCCCAGAAAGCAAGCGATAGTCACCTCTAATCGAAACTAGTCTTCAACACACCACACTATCACTTAAAGCGAGAGAGGCATCTGCCCTCTTTTTCACATTGAATTGCACCATCGGCCTCATCTCAGTAAGCTCTGTTTATGCCCGGGCGAGCTCCATGAATCAGCCATGAGTGAACTCTGTGCCCCAGACTCATGTGCTCCGGGCGGGAGGGGCTCCTGCGTCCGGGCGCCGACACATAGCCCAGAGAGGCATATCTGTGCACGGTATGTCGTAAGTCTCGGTAGCGAATGGCACCCAAGTGTTGCCTCACCACTCTCCACCTTCCTTCATCCTATGGCCCTCTTATGGTCGATGCTGATTCAACGGCCTTAATCGCCACCAAACCAAATACAAAACGTAAGAGATGTCAACTAGGTAGGTCATATCACCCAAACAGGCGTGTGGTGAAGAAGCTGGGACGGAGCTCCGCCGAAAGTGTGCGAGTTTTTAGTGCAGTGGTTCGGCCGCACTCATAGAAACGTAAATCACTTGAATTTATATATTTATTTGATCGATTTATTTGTCGATTGTCATGTCTGGCAGGCCACCATGTTGAGCCATCCCAGTACATCGAAGCTCGGTGATTTCAGCAATGAGCTCATGATACCGAAAACCATGAACTTTCTTACTTATCTTTCTTTCCTTTCTTTTTAAGCATAACAAGAGTAACTTCGCACTTATCAGACCATCTGTATGTGTTCGCTAAGAGCCAGCCCAATCACCTTCGGTTTTGTTTCGGCTACTCGGTACAGGGATCTCACGACGACGTGGGTGCTGCGAGCTGGGTCGTGGGTGCTGCGAGCTGGAACGTGGATGCTGAGAGCTGGGTCGTGGGTGCTGGGAGCTGGGTCGTGGGTGCTGGGAGCTGAGACGTGGGTGATGAGAGCTGGGTCGTGGGTGCTGGGAGCTGAGACGCGGGTGATGAGAGCTGGGACGTGGATGCTGGGAGCTTGGTCGAGGGGTCGTGTGTGGTTGTGATTTTGCAGGTCCTAGAGTTCCGTGGTGAAGACAGCGGGGAAAAAATGCATTACAGCACAAACTAATCATGTTATGGCATGATCATCTACGAAACCAATCGTTATTTGAAGACGTCAATGATACTTTTTCACCCGTCATGCAGGGTGCCGATAGTGTAGTGGTTAACGCGTTTGCGCTAATATCTGCACATCTGAGAAACCAGAGGTACGGGGTCCGATTTCCCGCGATGCCCGCCGTTCCTGCCAGGGTGAGAGACAGGCAACGCCATATAGCCTCAGCAGCTGGTTGTGTCTTAAAGCCCCAATGTCCCCCCCCCCCCCTTATCCGTCATGCCATATTCTGTCTGGAAATGTGCCACTTGCACTTGATTTTGGCTGCGCAGTCGTCACCTGACCTGACCTGAACTCGTGTCTGGGTGTGCCATACAACTTATTGGATGCTTTAACCGAGATGCGATCGAGACATGCAACCAATTAAGATAGATGTAGATGGGTTCGAGAGTTCTTGTTAACCTGGGTGCCCGGGCATGATCATCGCGTTTCATAATGACCAGCGTCGAATATCAACCCTCCAACTTTCGGGGACTGAATTCGTTGGAGGCTCTAATCGATCGTTCAGGACCTCCAAATGTCATAAATTTCGATGCGGCGCGAGAAGTCGAGGGATTTCGACGCAGTCTCATGTGTTCCCATAGTTCTTTTTCGTTCTGGCATGTTTCGACTCATCACCCGTCAATATTCGAAATTCCCCTTTTGTGGGCTTGAAGCGTGAGCCAGGTGATTTTTGGTGCTGCCATGTGTTATGATTACATGCTTATGAGCGTATTTTTATATCGTGCCTGCGTTTTGCGTATGTCTGATTGCTTGCTCCGCTTGTGCGGGTGATCTGTAGCGGCTGTTTAGAACATTGAAGAGGTCGAGGTTTTCGAGGTTGCGAAATAATGCACGAGATGAAGGTCAACTTTAGCAGATAGTGGCCAAAATATATTAATACATTCGTTCTTAGACCGTTTTTAAACATATATTCGGAAACTGCATAACAGTTCGGATCATATTTTGTACACACCATGCTTATAATGTATATATAAATGCATATAGATATGTATACATATATAACAAACATCATTTTGTCTACGCTGAATGGTTCAAATTGCAATCTCTGGGTTCACACCACTTGAAGTTTCCGCGAGATATCTTTGAAGGTGGCTCGTCAGCGCGCCGTGGGCTATCGTTGGTACCAGCTTCGACCAAATATACGCGATCGTCTGATTCTGCCGAATATGAGCTCCCTGTGCGAATCAAACTCCTGATTCCGCTAACACCAAGACCATTTATGCCCGCCCCGCATAGGCCGGCTGTAAATAAAACGTGCGACCGGCGGGATTTATGTCACGCTCACGTCTGTCAGCGGGGGCGGTTCACCACGACACCATTCATTCGACTTTTTGTAACCTCTCGGAACACGCCGCCACACCATCACGCCGTGTCGGTCTGGCGTCATTGAGCGGAATGCTGCGCAGCGGGATTACCAGCCCCCCCCCCCCCCCCCGCCACTCCCGCCCACCCGGACCGGCCGCCGGCCGAGCAGCCAGCAAGGGCCGAGCCACTGCAGACGGTCTCCAGACGGGTCGGGGTCGGCTATCGGCCGTGTGACGCGCTCCCACTTCCTCCTCCGGAACTGCCGCGTCCCGGTCCTGCGGCGCCTGCGCGTCAGATCGCCAGCCGAGCCCCGCCGACATGGCCGCTACCGCCGCTGTTGCCGGGACCCTGCTGACCCTGGTGACACTGGTGACCTCGGTCGCCGCCGGCGCCTGGACAAACGATGCCGTGCTGGACGCCGACGGCATGGTCCGCATCAAGTGGAGGGTGCATGATGGGAACTTCACGTGCCAGGTGAGCCACTGCGGTTGGGAGAATGCGGCGGTAGCTTCCCCGTTAGGTGGGTGATGTCTGACTGACTTGGCAGGCGAGCAGATGGTGGCCTTTGGACGACGGCGTGGGCGGCTGACGGCGGCGTGGGTGAGACTGTTCTGGCGTTTAATGCCTAGAATAATGACAATACCACATACGTGCTATCCAGTGGCTTTAAACGCATTAATAAAATGGGAGACGCAGGGTCACCGATAAGCCAAAGCCCCGGCTAAAAAGTGGTCAGACGAGAGGTGGGCTTCAGTGTTCAAGGACATACTGACCCCGACGGACTGACCCAGTTGGAGGCTGCGCCTCCGGCTCGCCCCCCAGCTCGCGCGGGTTTTCTTGGAAATCGCTCGGCCGTCCTGCGGCTTGGCCCGTCTGAGTACCGTAGCTGCCTCAATAACTGACCCAAGCCGGTGGAATTACTTGTAATTATGATACCAGTTGTCTGTTAACCTGTTACAGGTCATTGATTTTAAGAGACATTTCTCATTCGTATGTACCACAAAATCGGCTGCTCAGCTTCCTGCAGCATTGTTGCGTATGGCGTGCCGTTCACAGCTTGTTTCGAAAAATGATACAGAAGGTATTAGCAACGCTAAAATAGGCATCAACACACTAGGCATCAACACACTTTAAGGCTACATGCGTAACGCAAGGTGTGAATATTGAGATGCGGGGTTGATTGGGTCACCCACCCACTGTTATGCTGGTACGTACAGTAGCTGTTACGAAAGTTTTACTGTTTTGCTACTGCAGCAATTGGATTGTTACAAGCGAGGCCATAAATGAAACGGGTAGTAATGCTTCCTAAAAATATGTTGTGCCTTCAGCAGTTCGGGCTGGCCCAGCCAGTTCTTGCTCATATCTATGCCCTTGCACCCATTGATTGCGTCGCCATGCTGTCTCGCACGTCACGCTGTCATCTCACTGCAGCGGTGACTCCTGACCAATGGTTCTGTGCGCAGTGCCAGTGCGACAGTAAGGGATCATCTCGCTCTAGGGCGAAAACTGGCTTTGCGTAAACACTCAGATGCAAACCGACTAAACGCCACGAAGTGTCCATTCTCGATGGTATTTACCCCGCATTCGTGGAGCGTCGGAGCAGAAGAAACAGCAGACCGGACGGCGGTGGGCGCTCATTCCCCGAAGGCCGTGTTGACGGGCTGCTCGACGTCCTGACAACTTAATCTTGTTTATTGGCACATGTGCTCAGATGCATCCCGCCTGGAGTGCACTGGTTCCAGCTGGTCGCATGATGAAGTGTTGCACTGTTGGCCGTCTGTGAATCATGCATGGCGCATCAGGCAGATCATCAACCCCTGGATCATCGGCCGCTTCCAGGGAAGCCTGTGTCGATACAGGGGCGGTGGCCTAACCAGGATTTTATCCAGGAGAGGACCTATCAGCTTAGGGGACCCTTCTGACCTCCCTTTGGGGCAGGCGCGCATGCATGAAGTGGCTCCCCGGAGGCAAGAGTATTCTCGCTTCCGTCTTCCTACGAAATGTTTTGCATGCAGTAATATGTTTGCGGATAAATGTTAGCAGTAAAAAATTCGTGGTTGACACATAAAGATACGTAGATTGAGAACGCACAACGTTGTTGTGCGCCAGAGAACAAATATTACACGTCTGTATCCAACGAACTGGGCTTTCAGAGAAAACATTTTAATCTGAACATTTTAGAAGTCCCACGGATGAAACGTTAAAATGTGAATGGGGCAGCGTCACCTCCAGTAGCTTGTGGACATGGACCCCTAACCCCCCCCCCCCACACACACACACACCCACCCCTGACTACGCCAGTCTACAAACGACGCATATGTCAGATGTACCTGACTCCATTTTTCAGCTTGGGCAACATCAACATAGCACAGCAAACGGTTCTCACTCCAGGTAAGGCTGCGTGGCATCTGATCTGGATAAAGTGAGCGACTGTGGCGTCCTGTTCCAGCTGGAGGTGGACACCCTTGGCTGGGTGGCGTTTGGCCTCTCACCGAACGGAGCCATGAAAAACTCGGACATGGTTGTGGCCGGAGTCGACCACAGCAGCGGCCTGCCGTACCTCACGGTCAGTCGGCTGTTCCCGCCCTGCGTCAACAGCGTTGTGGGCGTGCGTGTTCCGACGGTCATTGGACCAAACCAGAGTGCGACGAGCTTGACACATTCCAATGATTGAGCATTCCTGCTGACGAAGCGTGCGTCGTGTGCTGGTTTGCGGTTGAAAGGTCTGAAGAGAATTCAACCAGGAACCGTCCGGGGCATTTGGCCAACGAGGACCACCTGGGTGTTTAAAGGTGCCTGAACATTGGGTTAAAACAGTTTAGATGGCAGTCGATATCTCTGGTCGATCTCATCCGAAATCGTGAATTTGACTTCTATCACGTGACTGATCACATGAATGATGACGCCACAGGTCGCGCAAAATGCCTTAAAAGCACCAAATTTATCGAATGATTTTTCGGAACACCTTCCAGCACTTACAATGGTGTTGGCACCGCTGTGTTACGGTGCGAAAGAAACGGATGTTTTGTTACGCTCCAGAGCTATACGACACCAGTAACAAAGGTCAATAGTCAAGGTCAGGTCAGGCCAAGGTCTGATAGATCATTCGAGTCACCTCGATGGATGGGATCTTTCCAAATTTTGGCCCACGTGATAGATGCAGAAGAATGATTTGGGAACGTGCCAGGTTTGCCAACTTTTCAACATCATTGTCTCAAATGATTTTGGTTCGGCACGCATAAGTTGGCCTCAGACAATGTCTGTTCGGGGCTTGGTGGGGCCTCGCAGAGCATAGTTGACCCCAACTGGCAGTTAAATGAGACATGAATGGACTCAAAACAATACAAAACAGCAAAGAAGAACTCTTTGCATCACTTGGGCAAAATTTGTGTGCAAACCGTTTCTGATGCCGAAGTAACTATGCGGTCTGAAAAGATGGAGACATTTTTCCTTTCGGGAGGTGTCAAATTAATCAACTGAAAAGTACTGAACGTTCGGTGCACCCAGTATCGCAGTTAGTGGGCAGGCACGGGGGCACGTCCCCCCCCCCCCCTCTCCTTAGATTCCGAGGGGCCCTTCAGGTCCCTCGGGAACTACGATGAAGGGCCGAAAGGCTGGCTAAAGATCGCATTCATGGGCCCCAGCCCGCAGGGCCGGGCACACAAATGCCCTGCCCAGAGGGCCCAAATGCTCAGAGAGCCCTGCGCGGGTCAGTGCTCCTGAGTCGATAAGGGCCTACATTTCGGTCAGACACCAACAGTAACGCCCAGTCGACTCCGTGGCGGCATAGGCTTGAGGGGCCATTTCTCAGGCGGGGACGAAGAGGGGCCCAGGCGACCGAAAGTAGCCAACTATCAAAGACCCGGTTGAAAGGCATAAGGGCCAAAGGACTGGCTGTAAGTCACATAAAGTATCACGGCCGGTAAGGTCGGGGCCTGAAATATCAGTCAGAGGACCACTTGCACCGATTGGGACACCCCTGAAAATACGTCGGAGACTGTCAACACCGAACAGTTGGCTCCCTGTCAGTCTGAACCCTGGGGGTACATTTCTTATGCAGGAGCAAGACCGGGGGCCACGATTTGCATTGGACTGGGTCCCCGACACAACGGGGGGCTCTTGTGTCGGTCAGCAGCCACAGTGCCTAACAGAGTTCGTGTGGCGGCAGGTGACCCGGGTCGGCCAGGAGCGGTGTTTGAGAGGGCCTGGAGGGGGCGGAAGGGTCTCTTGAGACCAGAGATCAAGGGCTCGACTGGAAGGCTGAACGACCGAAAGGACTAGCTGTAGGCCCGCGTGATTCCTGCATCGTTCAAGGGCCCACAGTGCCTGACGGGGGCCTGTTTCAACAAGGTGCCTTGAGTCGGTCAGGGGAAGATTTCCTCAACAGGGGCGGGGACAGGACACCGAGTGACAGAGCCTTCTGCGCTGGTCGGGGCCCCCTGAGAATGGAAGGAAGCATGACAGCTTACGACGATCGCTCGCATTATCACATTGCGTATTCATCAGAAAACCGTCTGCATACGGTGTATTTCAGAGAGCGTGAAGCTTCCGTACATACATGCCAAGTGGGGATGCGTTAACATAATTACGGCACTAAAAAATGCGTAAATATCGTTCGGCAAACTCATAGCCTTATGCCATTTCATAACTATGTGGTTGGCAGGCACAGGCATGTGGCCAAAAGACAAATAGCCTTTTCTAATGCTCCAAAATCGGTCGCTTCCCAACAGTCTGCGGTCCCATCTTCTGCATTTACATGCTACGAGCAAAAACGTATTCGCAAGCAGTTTCTGTCATAACTATCATGGCATAAGCAGCGCTTGCGCACGATATGCATATCAATATGGATAGATACCAGCACGGGTGGCCGGCTAGATATCCTTCGCTCGGGTGGGGGGGGGGGGGGCAGTTTGACCCCCTGAGATCTCGTCAACTAAGGAAGCTAGAAACACCAAATTTACAGGTGTGTTTACCTGTACCTTAACTCACTTAGGTCAGAGTTTCAGATTCCTAGATTATGACCTTCGGGTCAAGAAAGGCCAAACAAGGTCAAATTCCAGGCTGGTCTCCAAAGTGCACCCAAAACGTAGATAGCCGCTTATAAGCAAAATATATCAGTCTCATTTAAGGTCAGTGACCCTGTTTGACCTTTTGAAGGTCAAGGTGAACAAAATAATACAAGAGTGCTTTGAGTTTTGCATTTGACTAAGCGATAAAGATTACGCTGGGCAGTATGTTACTAAAACAAAATGATGACACAGGTCATTTTGGGTCAGTGACCAATTCTGACCTCTAAGAAGTCTATGGAAGATGCATAATGCGCTTTTTGCTATCAATAAACTCGAAATGAGCACCAGAAGCTATCCCATACAGCAAGCCCTGGAGTAATAAAACAGGCTGGTTTTGACCTTAGTGTGACCTTCATACCTGACCTTAGGTCAACGTGATTTGCTCGTCCAACTGTAGCGTTGCTTAAGAAAGCAGCTCAGATATGTATGGCTTCGTCTAACGCTCCGTTGTTGGATCAGATTGAAGGATTCCCTAGAAATTGCCTTTGCTGAAACCATGGCCTGACTTTGACCTGCCATAGGTCAGCGACCTGACAAGGTACACCGAAACGTGTGGTACCAAATGATCGGCTATTTAATTGTCTATAGCTATGCAAAATTTGGCGCAGCTATGCCGCGCCGTTCGGAAACCACTTTGGAAAAACCTTCGGCGGGGGTCAATTTGACCCCCACCCGAGTGCGTGTTAACATACATGTCAGTCGGTTTTGATGCCGTTTCCCGGCGCTGCGCGACTCACTCTATCCACTCTATCCGCTCTACCTTCGAAACCTGTCTCCCCAGGATATGAACAGTCGAGACGGCTACCGGCTTACAGTGGACAAGCGACAGGACTACCACCTGGTGTCGGCCTGGGAGGACGACACGACTACGACGGTGGTGTTTACTCGGCGTCTCATCTCGTCCTGCCGGCCGGGGGACATCTCCGACGAGGACCGGGACATCACGGTGAGATTCACGGCACCACGAGACCGCGGCAGCGCTCGGGGAGCTGCCAGTGCGCGGTGGTCGAAGGAGCGCGATGGCACGAGCGGTGCTGGGAGGTCATGACACGCCACGGTGGGGCAGCTGATGCAACGAAGCATTCAGGGAAGCCTCGTGGGGCGTGGTGTCACCGAATCGGTCTCGGTGGTAAGGATCACGGGAGGTTGAATAATTATGTTAATTGCATACGCGAGGCCTCACGGCATGGACAGCAGAGGCGACGGTGAGCATTGCAAAAGCTGGGCATCACGGTGAAGGTCACCGATAAGTGGCATTGAAATGAGGATGTCGTGGCGAATGCCGTGTCGAATGAATGTCGTGGGAATAACAGCAAGAGCCTTGTTGGTCAGGTTCGGCCTTCAGACCGCAATCGATCCTGTTAACAGATGGATTGCGATGTTATACACTTGCCTAAACCCAGGGAATATCATGTTTCAAGGCCAACTGGAACTTGGCTGGGTCGCGCAAGTTTTATCTGCTAGTCCTTGGTTATATAAATATCACCTGTGTTGCAATAGTTCCATGCAAGTATATCGCGCAATTTATACCAATCCTCTCGGAAATGTTCCCCTTGGCGTTAAACGAATGCGCTCTTGAATCAGTATTCGTGCATGAGTTTCCATGTAATCACTTTGCATGCAGGCGCGTCCTACATTCACCCAAAGCCCATGAGTTAAACAAACAAGAACACTCGCCTGACCTGCACCTCTCCCCCCTTTGCTCGCCGCAGGCAGACACACAGCACGTGTTGTACGCCTACCACAGCCGTGATCCGGCGGTGGTCAGCGAGCCACCCCAGCACGAGCACAGGGGCCGACGCAGCCTGCACCTGACGGACCCAGCCGAGCCGACGCCACCCTCAGACGACGACGCCCACCAGCTGACCACCTGGAGCGTGCGGCAGAGCGCCGTCCGCCTGCCCGCCGAGGACACCGTCTACTGGTGTGACGTCATCCGCGCGCCGCAGCTCACCACTAAACATCACGCCATCAAGGTGCAGGACGGGGAGGGGGGGGGGGCTCGCCCGCCACAGGATGCCAGCTCCGATGACGTCATGTAGGCAGCACGCTCGCCCGGGTCTGGCGGGCGCTGTTTTTCTTGACGCTGACGATTCAGAGCAGCATTAGTAACCACAGCCGACAGCTTCCTCTCCCTTCTCGGTATCGTGTGGCTTCTCGCCTCCGCCTTCTGTGAGTCCCCGACGGCCCACGAGAGGCGCCTGTGTGACGCTGCACAGCTCACCCGGCTCCCTCCGTCTTCCCCTGCCCCTGCCCCCGCCCCCCCCCCCCCCCCCCCCCCCCCCGGTGGTGACGTCGCCGTCTCCGTCACAGTACCGGGCGGTGATCACGCCCGGCAACGAGAGGGTGGTGCACCACATGCTGCTGTACCAGTGCTCGGACCGCGACTTCAGTGATCTGGGCACCCCGGGCGCAGTTCCCAATGGTGGATTCCGCTGCTACTCGGCCAACATGCCCCCTGCCGCCCGCGGCTGTCGCGGCATCATTGCCGGCTGGGGCATCGGAGGCGAGGTGAGCTCCGCCACCGGCATCGGAGGTGAGGTGAGCTCCGCCGCCCGCATGGGAGGCGAGGTGAGCGCCACCGCATGTAGCGGCGGCGGGTGTACTCCATCGTCTCCACCACCGCTGACGGTGAGATGAGTTCTACAACTCGCACATCCACGGGCGTTGGGGCAAGGCGAGCCCCAGCGTCTGTCGGTCTTGACGAATGTCTTTCGTCAATGGCCGCGACGATCCTGATATACCGCACTCTGGGATTGGTCTGTAAGACGCGTGTTATATTGAATCGGCTACGCGGTGACAGGGAATGTTGGAAATGCGGTGCGAAGCCCTAATGCACGTGTTGCGCTTATCTTGTGCTATATGTTGCTGTACCGGGCGAAAGCCCAGAAGCGCAAGCTTTACACATACATACACGTGATGCAAGTGTCAATAACGTACTAGATGAAAAAACAAATCCACCTCCTCGACTGTTCAGTATTTTCATCTGTAAGTATAACGTGTTGCTATCAGCTCTGCCTTGTGGTTGTGCCTTGCGGTTCTGCCCGGCGGTTACGCCGTCCCACTGCACGCATGGTTACCGACCGCCACCGTCTCTCGGTGCAGGATTTCACGTTCCCTGAGGACGTCGGCTATCCGATTGGGCCTGACCATGGAGCCGAGTTCTACATTCTGGAGATTCACTACGACCTGGCCGGCCGGTCGGGTGAGTCGGCGCTGCCGGGCCGGGTCGGCCGCGTCGCTCGCGGGTGAACCGGACCGAGCACATGCAGGCCGGGTCGGCCGCGTCGCTCGCGGGTGAACCGGGCCGAGCACATGCAGGCCGGGTTGGCCGCGTCGCTCGCGGGTGAACCGGACCGAGCACATGCAGGCCGGGTCGGCCGCGTCGCTCGCGGGTGAACTGGGCCGAGCACATGCAGGCCGGGTCGGCCGCGTCGCTCGCGGGTGAACCGGACCGAGCACATGCAGGCCGGGTCGGCCGCGTCGCTCGCGGGTGAACCGGACCGAGCACATGCAGGCCGGGTCGGCCGCGTCGCTCGCGGGTGAACCGGGCCGAGCACATGCAGCGGCGGGCCTACTGCCGCGTCAAATGCAGCTAGCTAAATGTGATGTGGAAGGTACAGTGCGAGTGGCCGAGAGTGATGGAGAGTGATGCGAGTGATGCGAGTGATCTGGATGTCTGAGATACCGCGCGAATGATGCAGGATTAGGTGTGAGTAGCCCGGGAGAGGGAAATGGAAGGCTGGTGTGCAAAGGAAGACAGGGGGGGGGGGGGGGGGCGGGGGATGCAGCAGAATGAAACTGGTGGAGTTTGTGTCGTACTAGGGCCAGGATCAACGCCACATCTTGGCCCATCTGGTGCGGCTATTACAAACCTCGTGACCCGGTCAGACGATTACATACGACATGTTTGACTGGGAGAGCATTGCAATGCATATATATATATATATATATATATATATATATATATATATATATATATATATATATAATGTATGTATGTGCGTATATGTGTGCGTGTGCGTGTGCGTGTGCGTGTGCGCGCGTGCGTGCGTGCGTGCGTGCGTGCGTGCGCGTGCGCGTGCGCGTGCGTGTGCGTGTGCGTGTGCGTGTGCGTGTGTGTGTGTGTGTGTGTGTGTGTGTTGTGTGTGTGTGTGTGGTGTGTGTGTGTGTGTGTGTGTGTGTGTGTGTGTGTGTGTGTGTGTGTGTGTGTGTGTGTGTGTGTGTGTGTGTGTGTGCGTCGTCACATTGCAATATGACGAGCTGGCTGAGAAACCACAGAGCGGGGTGGTTCAAACAGCGTAGAATCACGCCATCATCCCGCAACCGATAGGTGAACATTCAAATAAAAGTGATGTTGCAAAGTGCACGCGATTGGTTACATCCAAAAGGGGACCACGCCTTTGCCAGGGTGATTTTGACAAATGCCAGGGCAAGAGCGGATCGCGTTCATGGCGGTTTCCGGGCCATGATTTAGATTAGCCGCTGAGGGGGGACATTATCCAGACGCAGCTACAGTGATAGGTGTGGTGTCTAGCTACACCTCCAGACCGTAATGCGCTGTTTTACTGCATGACGCTTCAGATCGCAGCCGCTATTTCATTTCATTCCATGCATGGCACATGGTAAGGCAAATGTTGTTCCCATCGGTAGCCCGAGAGCAGTGGCGTAGGCGAGGCGCGGAGCTCCTGAGGCCTTAAGCCCCCCCCCCCCCCTCTCAGACTCAAACGTAGTTTTTCACCATGGCACTATTGAATATACTGCCGAGTTCTGGTCACCAGGAAAGCCATTTTGGTTTCAAACCTCATGACACACCATGGACACTGGCATGTAGAGCCAAACAGCCGTAGTTTAGTAACAAGACAAGCGGGTAGCCATGTGAATACGCACGGCCTGCAACTGAAACAATGGTCTGCGGTTCCATGGCAAAACAACATCGAGTTTCATTGATACGCCAGGTCTTGTGCCTATTAGCATGTGTTCGGTCTCTTAGTCTGTTTGCAGTGTGAGGGTGCTGTCAATGAGACTGGGACTCGCCCGAAAAAGTTGCCCCCTCCCCGTTGCAAATCATAGCAGCCCCCTGTCACAAATTATGGCAGCCTCTGGCATTAAGCATGTGCTGCTACCAAAGAAGACAACAACAACAAAACAGCAAGCGTGAGAGTTTTAGTTGCATGCCTTTTGTGGTGGCGGCTCTGGTCTCACCAAACCGGCGTTGGAGCGCCGCAGTGTGAGGTGCACGCTATCATTCCGCTTGTGGTGACATCTGCCGCTCTCTGCCGTCCCAGGAGTGGTGGACAGCAGCGGCTGAAAGTTCATGCTGACATCACGCACGCTATCATTCCGCCTGTGGTGTCATCTGTCGCTCTTTGTCGTCCCAGGAGTGGTGGACAGCAGCGGCTTGGAGTTCACCCTGACATCGACACCCCGGCCAATGGACTCCTCCATGATGACCCTGGGTCACGACATCTCCCAGCTGCTGGTGGTACCGCCCCGGCTGCCAACATTGGTGGTGACCGGGCACTGCTCAGACGAGTGTCTGGACCTGGTGAGTCACTACAAACGGTGAAGAACTGCTCGGACGAGTGTCTGGACCTGGTGAGTCACTACAAACGGTACAGAACTGCTCGGACGAGTGTCTGGACCTGGTGGGTCGCTACAAACGGTGGAGAACTGCTCTGGACCTGGTGAGTCACCACAAACGATGGAGAACTGCTCGGACGAGTGTCTGGACCTGGTGAGTCACTACAAACGGTGGAGAACTATTCTGGACCTGGTGAGTCACTACAAACGATGGAGAACTGCTCGGACGAGTGTCTGGACCTGGTGGGTCGCTACAAACGGTGGAGAGCTGCTCTGGACCTGGTGAGTCACCACAAGCGATGGAGAACTGCTTGGACGAGTGTCTGGACCTGGTGAGTCACTGCAGACGGTGGAGAACTGCTCGGGATCTGGTGAGTCACTACAAACGGTGAAGAACTGCTCGGACGAGTGTCTGGACCTGGTGAGTCACTACGAATGGTGGAGAACTGCTCGGACGAGTGTCTGGACCCGGTGAGTCCCTACAGACGATGGAGTCATGGCACGATTCTGACGATAGAGTCTCGGCTCATGCTGCCGACAGGACTCTGCTCTGACAGCGTCAACTGGTGGCGTTGACAGCCGCTGGCCGCCTCGGGCAGTCAGCGGCCACAGTCGGCTGACCCACGGTCCTGCCCGCAGGCGCTGCCGCCGGAGGGGGTGACGGTGTTCGCCGCCCTGCCGCACACGCACCTGCTCGGCCACCAGGTGCGGCTGCGCCACTTTCGCCGCGGCGTCGAGCTGCCGCCTATCGTACGCGACGACAACTACGACTTCAACTACCAGCAGTTGCGTCACGTTACGCCGCGCAAGCTACTGCCCGGTGACCAGCTGACTGCGGAGTGCGTGTATCGCTCCTCACAACGGGCGAACGTGACGCTGGTGAGCAACGCGCCGGTTACCGGGCGTCCGATACGCCGGACAGCTGGCTACGCCGCTTAAGAGCATACAGGTGTGCGAGTGTACATTGGTGATTACACGCGACAAAAGAGTGCCGAGCCTCACTGTGGAATGTCCGCAAAGTGTGACATTGTAGCCTCTCAGTGTGTACCATGCCTCACTTTGGTCACAGTGCAACACCGTTGGGCTCTGCACCGTTGGGAAGTGGGCACACGTCACGTGACTATGGTGCACGTGTCGCGCTCGAGGTCTGATTGATGCCACAGTTCTCCAGGTTAGTTAACCTACCTAGTATGCGTGCAACGCGTGACCCAATGCCACCGCCCTCTTCAGGGTGGCCAGTCGACTTGGGACGAGATGTGTATCGTGTTCATCCAGTACTACCCGGCGATCAAGCTGGCGCAGTGTGTCAGCACACCACTGCCCCGCGACCTGCTCTCGAGCCTCGGCGTCTGGCAAACCTCCACCAGCCGGTAAGGGGGGGGGGGGGGGGGCACTCCCTCCGTGAGCTACCGGTGCAGCAGCTGGTGTGCGATGTAGTGGCGGCTGTCTGTGTGGGAGGGGGAGGGGCAACGGGGGCTGTTGGGGCACCGCAGTGGCTGCAATGGTCAAGGACAAACAAATTATCGAGTCAGACACCGACGTCAGATGCCAACCCGAGCGGCAGCGATTCCATGACGTCATGAGCGGGCCACAGACCGACCCGCGACCCCCTAGTGAACTCTGACACCCCGCGCTCCGCCCCAGGTACAAACAGCTGGTGGTGCAGCAACCGCTGGCCTGGCGCGGGGTGTTGTTCGAGGAGTACCTGAACCAGCTGGACTGGACGCCGGACAGGGTCGACAACCTGCAGCGTGTCGCCCGGGACGGCGTGCATCTGCCCGAGTGCTACCAGTTCGGGCGGCACGTGCTCAGCACGGTACGTACGCGGCACCGCGGCTCTTCTGTGCGGGATCGCGTCAGCATCGCGCCGCGCTGAAGTGGAGTTCCGCCGCCTGTTGTGAACTGGCCCCGAAGTCACGCGGCCCCGGTCGTGCGCCGCGCTCAGTGAACGCCTGCGTGATATCGCGTTGTTCGGTGGGAAGGCGTAGGTGGCTACTAATGATGCGCCGTGGGCATGCAACAAGCGATGCTGGCTGTTGCTCAGGGAACCGGACATGGGACTTGGCAGATGCGGCATACTGAAACGGTACCGCGCCTTGGCAAGCCGGCGGCAGAGCCAGCCACGTAACCGTACGACCACAAGATCACGTGGTCACATAACCAAGCGATGTGCCCCATTCCAGACGCGCAACACTACGCAGTACCCGGCCGGAGCCAAGAAGCTGGGCTGGCTGCGCCGCGCCTCCGCCTGTGAAGACGACAAAGCAGCCAGCAGCGCCACCTACGCGTCTTGCCTGCTCACGGTGGCGGCCCTCTGTTGGAGCGCGCTGTTAGGATAGGCTCCATTGGCTGCGGGATGATCCCAGCGGCTTTGGGCGGAGAAGGGCGCGACTGAGGAGATACTGGGCAGGCCTGTTGCGCGACTCTTGTTGACTCATTATTTTGTAATGCCCGATGAGCTCCGATGCTTCGTGTCAGTGTCTGTGATGCCATTCATGTCTGTCTGCAAGGCGACCGCTCGACTGGCAAGCGAACGTCAGCCTTTTTGCGTTTGTTCCACACGTCGCTGTATGACTCGACCGCGCCTGTTTCAACTCATGCAATCAATGCAATGCAATCATCATACAGTAAAACACACACAGTATTTCTGAGGGGAAGGAGGACCTGAACCCCTGCCGAATTAAGCAAACTGCGTTCATGAGATGCACCGCACTGCTAGTCGGACACAAGCTATGTAGATAATAGTTCGCTGTCTGTTAGTTATATTGCGTCATATATTACAATCTAGCTCTAGGCAGATGACTGTATTCAAAAACAAAATACATCTCATAACAGCAATGCGTGAGTGCCCTTTCCATACTGTGCTTCGGCACCGCCAGTCACGTCACCAGGACCTACCAGAGCGCAGGCGGCGCGGCCTGCGCTGCACTCGCCCTCACCAGCCACCCGGCCGGCCACCCCGGAGCGTGCCCACCCCTCCGAGCCGTCCCGGGACAGTGTTCGACCCACGGGCCACGCGGGCCGGCCTAGAGCCCCGCACAGCCCAGCGGCAGCCGGAGTCCCTCCAGCCACCGCTCGGCCCCCGCTGATAACCACCGACCGTGGTGACCATATCAGCCAGGCCGGCGAGCGGGTTCTCCTCTGTTCCGATGCGTCGGTGGGGCAGCTCCCCCCGCCCCCAAGTCATTCCGAGGCAGCAGCTCGTCCACTCACCCGAGGTCGACACCGAACCTCAGCCGGGCCTTCCAGACCCTGCCGTTCTCTCCGAGCCCACTAGCGCCGACGCCCACCCGCTGCGCGACTGTCACCAGCGCCCCCTCACGGCCGCCCGCTCCCTGTCCGTTAACCATTCCGAGCCCAACCCTCTCTCTCTCGCTCTCGCTCTGCTCCGCGTCACTTCTGCTTGCGCCGGCGGCGAGTCTTGACGTTGAGCAGGGCCGCCTCGTCCATCGGCGGGATGAGCGTGCCGGCGCGCGTGCTGACCGCCGGCTGGGTCAGCTGGTCGTGCGCGCGCGCCGGCAGCCAGGTGCGGCCGACTGGCGCGCGGATCGACGCCTCGAACGCCGCCACCGAGCTCACGTAGTAGGGCAGCTCGCTGGGCTGGTGCGCGCGCAGCGCCTCGTTGCGCTTTTCGCTGAGGATCACGTGGCCTAGGTGGTGGTCCTTGCGCGGCGGCCCCTTGGGTGCTGCGGACGGGGTGGGCTGTCAGCGGCGGGGGCGGGGCAGCCAGCGGCGGGGGCGGGACGCCACGGGAGAGTACACACACAGCATCGGTCGGGTGTGGGGAGGGGCTGGCACCGGAGGCTGGGCTGAGAGCTCTGGGACCGGCGAGGTCTCTCCCAGGCAGTCGCAGCGAATCACGGTCAGTTCTGGGCTACTGCACACAAACGCTGAGCAGCGGTCGGCCACGGCAAACCGCGGATGGATTCGCAGCAGCTAAGTCTTAACTAATAAGGAAAATGAAAAATCTGAATATGTTACAGAACAATCATCCAAGAAGCCTGCATTTGCTGGGGGTCGGCTAACCTCTGAAGAGGAGTCTGCGTCGTTTCTTGGCCGACATTTTTATGTTCTGTCCTCCCCAATCTCCCCAGCCCGGCAGAGCCATGTCGATATCCTTCGGCTTGTCCGCGTCTATGGTCGCCTCCTTCTCCTCCCTAGAAAGGAGGCGCTACCAATCAAACATACTTTGGAGCGCAGAACGACACCGGCCACCGACCATCGTCATTGTGATCGTAACTGCACAGGTTACACTCCGCTCTGTCGGCCGGCCAGCCGCGGCAGCGCCGCAGCTGCTTCCTTGAAGCAACGCTTCAAAGATACGCCACTGCAGGTGATTAAGAGAAGACGTGCCGGCAATCCTACATGACGCATGACGTGAAATGGCATTTTGCATGACTTTACTTATAATCATGTAATCTGTACAGCCCCCCAATGCCAGATACCCCTGAATTCATTCATCAGCTGCTCTTCAACTCAACACATCCCGATCCGCTACATCAATGTCAATGAGCCTTCGCTCTCACAATTATCAATTTTCCCCAGCTCCGAACGTGCTCGGCACACGTCGTCCGCAATCCCGTCACAACCCCTCCCGCGCGCGCTCACCTGAACTCCGCCACCACGTCGTCGTCGGCGAACGCCTCGGCGATCGTCATGCGCGCGTCGTCGCCGTCCTCCAGGTCGTCCTCGCCGCCGGGCCCGCCGTCCGGCCGCAGCGAGCGCAGCCGGCGAGGCTCCACAGCCATGAAGCGGGACGGGTCCAGCTGCGGCGTCGACGCGGCGGCGGCCGGCCGCTCTGCCGGCGTCGCCAATTGCTCGGCCGTCACCGCCGGCGCCGGCTTGTCGCCAGTGAGCGCCTCCAGCTGGGCCAGCGTCGAGCGGCGCTCCAGCGAGGCGTCCAGCTTCTCCGGCGCGTCCTCCGCCGGCGGCGCCGCGTCGTCATCCGAGCCAGCGGCGGCGGCGGCCGGCCTCTCCTTTTTTGCCTTCGCATTCTTCTTCTTCTTGAGCTTCCTTGAAGAGGGGGTCGTTTCGTCTCCCTTCACCAGCTGCTTCAACTTCTTCTTGGTCTTTTTGGCAATCGTCTTCTCGAATGTATCAAATATCTCGTCAATATCCTCGGCCTTCTTCTTCGCCGCAGCGCCCTTCTTCAGCTTCTTCTTCGCGCCGGCCGCCGTTTTGGCGTCAGCCTTCCTCTTCAGAGCCTTTTTAGCTCCGCCCTTCACCTCAGCCACCTCTTGAGCCGGAGCAGCCTCCTCGGCCACCTCGGATCCCTCCTCCTCGTCGCTGTCCGCCTCACCCGCGACGTCCTCGGCGGTAACGCGCGGCGCCGGCCTCTCCTCCGCCTCCTCCTCCTCTCCCGCGCCCGGCGCCGGCTCCGCCTGTCGCTCCGCCTGCCGCAGGCGCTGCTTGGCCGCCTCCTGCTCCGCCCAGAAGCGCGTATACTCGCCGCTGTAGGCGTCCGCCGTCGGCTGGGCCGCTGCCATCCACGGGTTGTCAGGGTCGGCGGGCGGCGCGGCGGCGGCCGGCGCCGGCGCCGGCTCAGCCTCGTCCTCCGAGGCGTCCCGCTCGGCGTCACGCGCCGCCTTCTGCGTCCGCTCGCGGCCGATGCGCAGGTTTTCCGCCAGAGCCTCGCGGGCCTGCCGGGCACCGAGGGCCGCTCCGAATATCGGCTCACAAGGGTGCGGAGCGACAGACACGTCCCTGCCAGGGCGGCAGAGTGGGACAGTGACACCCGGTTCCAATCTACTAACTCGCATCACAGATTGGGGAGCGAGATCCGGTGCCGGACGCAGAGCATTAGGAACACACGGCAAGTGGAATAGAGTGCAACACACCCCGCACAGCACAACGCACAGATCAGGACGCGGGACTCGTTACCGAGATGATATTCCGTGCTTTGCGTGCGAGATGGCGAGATTGAGACCCGACGGGCAAAATGAGCCAAATCCAAAGCTGCGCATCAGGACTATGCGAGCAGATGTAACAGCTGACTTTGAAAAGATCTACCAGAGGTCTTAGCTGCGCTTATGGCTGCAGTAGGTGAAAATATCTTGCCAAGGTCCCTCAAGGGGCCATTTCTACGCAGACACGGGGAGTAACTCATCGAGACGCATCACGTCCACGCTCCTTACTTCCATCACAGTCTTACAGTCTTGCCCGCCTCTCATCCCTGATGGGTAGGCCTTCCCACCTGAGGCTCAGGCTCCGGGGTCGTGCGCCAGCCGGCCGCAGCGCCGCTTACTCACCGCCGGGTCGTACTTCCGCTTGATGGCCTGCAGGCGCGCCCACTTGCCCGTGTTCTTGTGGCGCTGCGACATGCGCTCCTCCACGCGCTGCCGCTCCATCTCCTGCAGCTTGGCCAGCGCCGCCTCCGGGTCGCAAATCTTCAGCTGCTCGAACTCCTTCAGGTGCTGCTTCAGTCGCTCTTTCTTCAGCACGCGCCGGTACCTGGGCACGGCGCATGGCCGTGGTAACTGGCGACAGACTTCGGCATAGAGGACAGTACGGATAAGTGGGGAAGGGGCGGCGCGCGGACCCGTGGACGAGCTTTACCAATCATAAATACCACCGGAATAGCTTTTATAACATACCGTACGAGCACGCAAGACATGTAATAACTCATGTCGCCAAAGATGATTCATAAATGAGGTCTAAGTCGGAAAATTACGTTAACTGAGCATCTTTGTGACCATATATCCACACCGTGTGACACATCAGTGCTTGGGTCCGCTGATCCGTTTTACGAAACCACAACCTGCCGGTCATGCTAGAAACAAGCACAAGGGCGAAACAAGGGGGGAAAGGAGAAACGTGCACAATATGCACACCGAGAAACTTTTGTAAAAGGCCAGGCTGTCAATATTGTCAATGTAGCAGGGGGTCACCAGTCACGAAGGAGCCAGATGCATTGGAACATCTCAGGAAGACAATGCCTACACCAACATCTAACCCATTACGCTATGGAGGACGCTGAAATGCATGCGAAACAAAGTTAGTGATACGGGTTCCACATGAGCCGAGAAACAATCCGCGAAAGAGTCTGCCAGAAACTAAAACGCGACCGCTGAACGCGCCCTGCCAGAGTCCTGCGGGCCCAGCCGGTAAACCCACTTTCTGCTCTTGATCTTGTTCTGGCGGCGCTGCTTGGCCTCCTGGTAGGTGAGCAGGGCGCGGTGTTTGGCCAGCTCTCGGCGCCGCTCGAGCGCCTCGTCCAGCGACATGGCGGCCAGCGCGCGCCGCTCCGCCTCGCTCAGCATCTGGCCCGGCTGCACCACGCTGGCGCTGCCGCCGAGCAGCACAGCAATCTCCTGCTCCAGCGGCGTCTGCGGCTGTGGCGGGGGACATGGGTCGGATCGCCTGGTGTAACAGGGGACACAGGGAACACACCCCGCTCCAGCGGAGTCTGCGGCTGCGGCGGGGAACACGGGTAAGGTCTCCTGGTGTAACAGGAGACACAGGTCAGACCTCCTGTTCTAGCACAGTCTCATGCCGCAGATAGACATGGGCGATATAATCTATCATAACCAGGGACACATGTCAAATATCATGCTGGACTGCCAGTCAAAGACATGGGCCAGACCTCTTGCTGTAATGGGGGTCATTGGCAGAGACCTTGTGACCAGGTTACATGCCAAGGTACAACACGCAGCCATGATGTGGCAGCTGACATCCTCGATGATGACTCATGCATTATTGCAGTTATCTCAGTTTGGACTAATGTCACAAGGCATTCAGCACCTGGCGGCTTCCGTGAAACCAGACTGTTGACACAAACCGATGGCTGCTGTGAAGGGTGTTAACTATAATGCAGCCTAGAAAAGCTATTTGCCAGTGTGCGGCAAGCATGCAAGAGATCACACAACATCCCATGTGCATAACAAACGACAAAACCGTTTTCTCAGCACCACACCGAGCCAAGGGCATCTTCGTCTCCACACAACCTGGGACGCTACACCACACCTCCCCAGACCGTCCCGGCAGTCGGCACCACTTTGGCCGCCACCGCCGCCGCCGCCGCAGCGGGCAGGGCGGTACTCACGATGAAGGCGGCCGTGCGCTCGGCGCCCGTCTCCACCCGCAGCTCGGGCTTCTCCAGCGGGAAAGAGACATGGGCGGCGCGGCGCCGCTGCTTAACCACGTTCTCCCAGCGCGATACCTCCTTGGTCACCTTCTCGTAGCCGGCCTTGCGCTGGGCCTGACCGCGCGGACGGGGAGAGATGTGGGATGGTAAGGCATGGGTCGCCACGCCTGTCTCTTGCCGCAAACATGTGTCAAAAGTTCAAGATCAGCATATGTTGGACAGACATTCCGGGGACCAGGTCCGCTTTTCGGAAGCTAGACAACATTTTGTTCATAACAGCTTGGTCAGATGTACACACTCACAGTCAAAGTGCAGTCCTCAGCTACGCCAAATGTTTTATCACGGTGTGTTACTGGCTCCCTGGAACCCCCGAACCCCATGCCCCTGCCAGCTTAGTGCAGGAGGTTCCAACCCACAGTAACCAGAACCACATCGCCAGAGGCAGACAGTGCACACCATCCTGACCTTGACCGCCTGCGGTTTCTCCAGCGGTGGCGGCAACTTCTTCTGGTGCTGTGCCTTGTTGATCTCCTTGCGCAGAGTGGCGTGGCGCGCCTGGTCCCCCAGGCTGGCCAGCAGGTCCTTGACATTCACGCCGGCGCCCTCCTCGGTGGCCATGTGAAATTCGGACACCTCGGCGCTCGCCTCCGACCGCTGGATGATCGACCTGAAAGAGTTGGCTCATCAGGGACGGCCGCACTGCGCCGACCACGCGACATGGGTAAGGAAACAACGAGAAAACCATTACGCTTACGGACGAAACTTGATCGTTTTGAACACGACCCTGGACGATGCTAAGGGAGATGATTCAAAAAGGAAGAGTCAGTTATGCTACACTCAGAATAAAGTACACAGGAGGCACTAGCTTATGGGCGCTTTGGGTGAAGAGTCGGCCCACACACCTGCCTGCCCGCTTGGAGTCCAGCTGGTTGATGCGCTGCAGCAGGCGATCATGGGATGCACCCATGCCATCCTCCTCAGTGGCACCCTCTTCAGCCAGCAGGTCATCAAACATGACACCGTCGATGGCCGGCGGATCCTCAAACATATTGTCCATCCTTCAAACTGCTGCCCTCTGTGGCCAGGCTCTGAAGATGGGACATTGTACACCAATCACTACACCAGCTGGTAGTCAGCACCAGCTGATCCAGCTGGTAGGTTCTGGCTAAATGGCATACCCGCACAACGGGTGATAAACTTGAGCATAGGGGAAATAAAGTTGGAAACAGAATTGAGATCTGAATAATTGACAAGCTCCCCAGCAAGCTCCTAGCCAATCACAGCCCACACCAATACATCCTTTAAATAGACTGGTGCAGACAGCACAGAAGTGGACTTAAATAGCAGGTGCAGGAACTCACTTACAAGGAGGTTTAGCCCAATACACAATACAGTATTAACCAATAACATTATACATAGATAGTGGTTTTTGGGAATTGTCAATATATTTAGGATGACTGAATTGGAGAAAAATTGCACCCAGCTGAAATGAGTATATCTGGATGCATATTTCCTAGGAAAAAAGCCCATGAATAGATAGCTCACACAATGACCCTTTTCATTACTGATTGGCAGGCAAATGATAAATTATGCCTAATATGAGTTAAACACCATTAGTCTTACTGCAAAAAAGCAATATACTTAAGACATGCAAATAACTGTGCACATCATTATATCAAACAGCACCAACCCTGATGCAATAAATACTAACAAGTGCAAAATTTTAGACAGAACAAATGCTCAGATTTGCCTGACAGGAAGTGGTATTTGGTTGTATTATGCTACAGAATTGTATTTTAAGCAGAGTTCAAAAGAACTAAATTTGAACTTGAGCAAGGGCTGGGACATAACTTCATTCAAAGGAAACCAAATCACTGAGTCCTAAGACACAGGTGCTGTGGCAGGGGAAAGGACACAATCCAGACCCCTGTTATGTTTAATCTCAAGACAGCATACTCAGAAGAACCCACCAATCAGGCTAGCCTCATTGCATTGGAAGTCATGTCATTCACTATCATAATCCCTTTTGGGTCAAGGTGCTATAATCAAGCTCACATGTTACCCTTGGTGAGTTAAATACATCATGTGTGTAATAGCTGCAGCCAATCTGAATCAGTTCATTAATATTCCACATTCATGTGTCTTACCTATTAATGTGGAAGGCCAGGCAATTTGACTCAATATTCCTTCCCTGACCCCACTTTCAAACCTGATGAAGTGGATTCCTGATCTATCACTCCATTCGGTCAGGGTGTACTTTCCTACCTAACGATAGAAAAAACTATTGTACACCAGGCAGGACATATTGTAAACAATCACAAAACAGGCAGATTCATGCTCTTACCTTCAAATTTTTTATAATTAATTCTGACCTGTGTGTTTCATAAACGTACCTAAACGTGATAGGAAACTATTTTGATTGCTTTATTATTGTTACCTTGGTCCCGTACATTTTTTATGGTTCTTGATAAGCAGAAATATTGTACTTATGCAACAACCCAGAAATGGAGCTTGGGAGTTGAGGCGGTGCGGTGCATGCCGTGTGTGCGGTGTTCGGGAGCTCGCTATCACATTTATTAAAATTTGGGGGTAGGAGCATGGTTCTACCTGTTTTGGGATTATTTACAATATGTTCCGCCTTAAACACGACAAACAGTTTACTTTGGTCCCATACATTTTGTATAGTTCTTGGTAAGCAGAAATATTGCATTTATGCAACGGCAACACAGAAACGGCACTGGGAGTCCAGGCGGTGCGGTGAGCGCGGCGCTCGGGAGCTCACCATTGCAGGTATTGAAATTTGAAGGTAGGAGCATGATTCTACCTGTTTTGACATTATTTACAATATGTGCTGCTTTAAACATGATGAATGGTGTGCAATTTTTTTCTCACATTAGGTAGGAAAGTACACCTACACCCTCCATTCTCCTGAATTCTTTTTTTCTCTGACAAATAAGGTTTTTACTTTTGTCTTATCTATGTGCACAATATTTACTGCAAACGCACTTAACAGATTACAGGTCCCTGACCAGTGAATTTGACGAGCCAAGTCACAAGAGAAAACTGTATCATGGCAAGTCTGACAACCTGCATTCTTTCCTGTAGAAAAATACACTCACTGCATCATATACCACATCAATGTGCTGAACATGGCACATGTGCATGCCAAATTTATGCCAAACTAAGGCATACTAATTTCACAGTCTGTTTTACTTGAAACCGGTTTTGGGCATCTATGACCAACATCACCTTAGAATCATAATTTATGGAAACTTGGCAAGTACAGACAAGTTGGCAGCAGCTGTGAAAACCCTGAATTCCTGGAATTTCAAAGTGAATGCCCTGAAATTGTTCTGGCAATGTCGCTGCTGCGTCGAACAAGTTCGGCGCGATGTGCATTAATTTGCATACTGATCCACATTCGCTATGGAGGAACCAAATGGTAGTTTTAACGAGCGACTTTCATGTACATGCATGCTTAAATACTTACACCGTCTACTACCCATAGAAGTGGGAGCCCCGCAGAACTAAGCTGACCTATTCAATTAACGCGCAGGCACGTAGAATCAATGTAACAGACACACTGAGTAGTGGAACGTAAAAACAATTATTCGGTCCAGGAGGAATACATGCGGCAAGAGGATACAACCGTAGCGCACATGCTACAGCGAGAACAATTTCCTAAATGTTTCTGGCCCGATAATGCATAGACACTAAATCTGGCTAAAACTAATTTTTGTCATTACCAAAAGTTCTTTTAGAACAATTTTGAACTCAACTCACGTTTTGTTTATGAGAGTCTTCTGAAATATTCTTGCAAAACTATTGCCTGTCATTGCATGGGAGCATGGAAGCATAGGGATTTGGATGAAGAGGTGGACAAAATAATCGATATGTTTGGCAACCACAACTAAGCACAGTTTGGTTTTTGCACATCTGAGGAACTCTGTGGTTCTTGTTGAAATTTTCTTTTTGATAGATTTCGAAGGTTTTTTTTAGACTCCGTTTAAGTTCTGATCAATTGTGAATGACTCCTTACAATTACAGGGATTGAAACGAGCAGTGCTGCTATTTGTCCTGAATGGGTGTATGTTTGGAAAAGATCGCAATTTTCCGTTCGTATTATTTTAATTCTTATCTTATTTCCTGTGAGCAACGGCGGGCTGAATGTGAGTGACCAGTGAGTAAATGTCAATGACCGTCAGTTTGAGTAATCATGACCTTCCTTTTATTCTGTCTTTGGCTATGTGTTTTTATCCTAAGCAATTCTCGTTATTCCGTTGAATGCCTAGTGTAATTATGCGAAATTGGGAACCTTTCAAAAGTCGTACCTCTTGACTTTGCCCATCTCTAGTTTATTCAGCTGCCCAGTTCCGCGCTTGAAGCGTGTGTACGGTTCGTAAACAATTCCAGTCCACACACGAGGGAAGTGTGGCGGGGTGGATGGGGCGTTCACCCGAGATGGGTGAGGTGACTGTATGAACGCGAACTGGTGTGTGTACTGTGTGAATGTGCTTCAACGCTGCACTCTCGGACGAACGACTGGAAACTTTTGAATGGTGGAATTTCACCCTACGACTATGAAAGGAAGAGGGTTATGACTACGCGCGATCGCAATGCCATTTTACCAACGCTGCGTTTCTCCGGCTTATTTGAGCAACGCACCATTAAAAGAATCGATTGATGATGAACGTGAGGCCATCATCAACACCACGTTGTCAGGAGTGCTTCGACAGCTCGCCAGTCTAGTGCTTCACGCCGAAGATATCTTCCAGGACCTTCAAAAGGATTTCGTAGTTATCTTTGACAGGGCTGAAGCCCTCCAAACACGCGTGAAAGAAGTGCAAGAGAAGGCCAGTCTCCTGGACGCCAAAGCTGTCATCGTCCGTAAGTGTTCGTGCTTTGTACAATTATAGATTAGTAGAGTTATCGGCTAAGAACACTTGGGCTGAGTTTTCTGTTGCCTGTGGGACAGATATTTCATTTGGCCGTTTGACAGAAAGCAATAAGAGCTCATTCATCAGTTTTCATACAGCTTTTGTGCTTTTCACAGGCGCAGTTTTACTAAAACGTCGGGGCGCAATTAATGTCTAAATGCAGCAACATCCTATCAAACTACAAAGTTCCAATTACGGGATTCCTTTGGATCAGATGATCTCCTCTGATCTCCTGATTTTTTAGCATCACGATAACTAGATGACCTGCGCTAATAATTTTGGAGCCATAAAGCACCATGACGGGCCAGTTTCAACTGTGCGCATCGTAAGTGTAGGATAGTATCCGTCCTAATCAGCTCGGTGGCCATTCGGAGCCGATGCAATTCGCCAAGAAAGAAATGCAACCCATTAAGCATCAGACCTAGGATAGCTCGGACTTAAAAAAGTAGGTGAAACAGAGTTTTGAACGTTTCACGTAGGATGCATCTCCACTTGATAACTTGTTGCCGGCTGATGAAGCCGTCATTGTCCAAGCCCATTTACAGCCCGTTATCTGCCTATATGTGTATGACAGTTAAGCATCTTGAATTCTGAAGCGCTAGTTTGCTGCACGATTTGGCCAGGTTTAAGTCAGACCGGCTGCTCTGTTCACCAAGATGTTTATTTTGTTTATGTTTATTTCAACAGGTCTTGATCACGCCAAGGCTTGTCAAAGGCGGACCGAGAACACCGTTTTGTGTGGTTATCTCCCGCGATGCATGTGATGGTGGGGGAGCAGAAACGTACAGATGCTCTTCTCCTGAAACATTCGTCAGACCGCGCGCCCGCCCGCCGCATGCGGGGTCTGGACGGTCGGGAGCACATCTGCGTGCTCCGGTACGGCGCCCTAGTAAACGTGACCGCTCCGAAAGCTGCGAATTCAGAGCGGGGAGTCCTCGTGGAGTCGGCCGCGCTGAGAGCGCGAGGCGAAGCCTCAGGCGGTCGGGAGCACACCTCCGTGCTCCAGTACGGCGTGCTCCGTCAAGCAGCCGGGATCGGCCAGATGATCAAGCTCACGCAATCGGCTGCCTCTCCTCCGCACACATTTTTTACCGACAGGCATTTGGTAACGCCCGTGACTTCCACAAAAGATTGATCAGGTCTGAAGCAAGAGTGACGGCATTAAGTGCCGAGGCGTCTAGCTGTTGAAATTCGAGCCAGCCTTAGTCTTCTCTGCAGCGAGTGGCTTATCCCAGCTCTCGTTGTCTGTGGCCGGGGTGGCGAGGCGTGATTGGCACCCGCTGATAAAATAATCCCACCCAATGCGTAGCTGTCGGATATTCGTGATCGACTCGGTGGGCCACTCCCAGGCCTGTTAGAATCGCCGCAACGAAAAGAAGAGCGTCCTCCAGTCGACGGCGAACGCACGCGATGTCAGTTGGCCGGCACGAGCCGGTAGACGTGGTAGGCTATATAGAGTCGCGTGGTAGACTATTCCAGTCAGGCAGGCCGGCCCCGACCCTATAAGGCCGGCCAGCGCCTTCACGCCACCAAAACCCGTCCGCTGTCCGTTTCGGCCGGAGCTCACTCCCTCGCTCTTCACCCGCCGCGCCGCCGCGGCGCGGTGCGATGATCACCGGGTGCAGGCCGGGCTACACTGCCCGGCCGAGCACCGCTGGCCAGATCCCGCTGGGAGGTGTGCATACTGGCGCCGTTAGGCGGCCGTACTCCCCTCGTTAGCGCCCGAGCGGCCGCCGGAGAGGCGCCCCAGGCCGTGCGCGGGGAGGCGCAGGAAATTCCGGCCGGCGCTCCGCGGGCGGCGGCCGCCATTATGCGCGCCCCGGCCGTGCCACCGCCGCCGTCGCCGCTGGCGCCGGCACCGCCGGGCGAATCTGTACCTGCAGCCCGACCTGCCCCGTCGTTCGTTACTGCCTGTGATGGGGGGTTAAATGGTTTATGCATTATGCAGTCACCGCTCTGGTTCGAGCGTTTACCACGCCACCGCGCCGGCGACTGTTGCCACGCGGCTGCCCCGTGGCGCCACCTCGTCGGCCCAGCCATTGTGTCCGGCCGCGTATACACACAGACGGCCCGTCGCCCCCGGCGGCGGCGTCGGCTGTGGCGGGCGTCAGACACACGGACCCCACCTGCCCTCCCCTCCCCTTGCCCTCTACGGCCGGGCAACAGGCAGGCGTCGGTGGCGACGTGTCCCTGCCCCGCCAGCTCGCGACGGCACGGGCCTGAGGGGGTGACCGGGAGGCGGCGGGAACACGGCGTGACTGCAGCCGGCGTGAGCGGGTCCTCCGGATGAGGACGTCGACGGCGGGATCAGAGCGCTCTGACAGCCGGCCCAGCCGACCGTCGTCCGATGTCACTAACCGGTGCCGACGGACGATTAGCTGCCGCCGCCCGCCGACCGCTGACTGAAGGTGGAGCCCACTCAGCGGGGGCGCGCGGCGGACGCTCGGCCCGCTGTCACTTGGTTGTAATGAGCAGCGTAATTTATTGGAGGTCGGGGTGGAATGCGCCTTCGCTTCGGACGGTCGTGAGCGGGCCTGCTGGCGTCCGATGGTGCGTGCGGGAGCTGGCTGACTACCCGCTGGTGGTCAGCGGCCGTGGCGCTCCGAGATGCAGGCCTCGGCGCGCGGATTTCGCCGCGTCGCCAGTCTGGAAATACTGACGGCGGCCCCGCACCCTGCGGTCATGTGCCAGCAGACTCCAGCATAACCTTTGTGGGCCTTTGATTTTGTGAGATTCTTCAGGTTGTGTTCAATCCTATCGTGGTCGCCGTTCTCGGGTTTTCGCGTGGCGTTCGTCCCCCCCCCCCCTCCCCACACACACACGCAATTTCGATCAGTGGTTCATGCCAGCAAGCATGGCCAGGCTGACTGGGATAGTTGGGATCTGGATGAAGATCCTCGTGAGCCAGAGGAGCGTCGCGCCGGATTCGGCCGCCGGAGTGCACCACCGGGCGCCGCACTGACTGTGGAACCCCACGCCTGGTCAGACACCCCGGCGGCGGGTCCATCGACCCGGCGCCTTTGACGGCAGGTCGCCGCCCGTGGCGGAGCCGTCGGTCACCCTGGCCACGTCATCGACCGAATGTGAATGATTGAAGGCCTGCAGCGGGCCTCTGTCGGGTGCCGATCACGATTCCCCTCATCTCGTGTGCCGTACGTCGACGCGGCTGGATGGTCTCGCTGGTGCTTCCATAAGACGGGCGCCGCGCTGAGCTCGGCGCACGTGCGTCTCGTGTGCCGTCCGTCGACGCGGTTGGATGATCTCACTGGTGCCTCTCAAAGGCAGCCGCCGCGCTGAGCTCGGCGCACGTGCGTCTCGTGTGCCGTCCGTCGACGCGGCTGGATGGTCTCGCTGGTGCCTCTCAAAGGCAGCCGCCGCGCTGAGCTCGGCGCACGTGCGTACGAGTGGCGAGACCTCTCGCGCATGGACGCGTGGTTGTGGGTGACCCTTGTTGTGGACCAACTGAGCGTATGGCTGGTAGCCGATCCGCGCGCATGCTGCTAACGACACCGCAGTAGTGGAGTGCAGTATTTTGCGGTATCGTAATTGGAAAGGTTCGTTTCTGCGCACCTCTCAAGTGACTGTTTTCCGTGTGCGCTGTTGAACATTCCACGGGTTCGAGTTCACGGTTTTGTCCTCGTCCACACCCCTCCTGACGAGATCAAAAGCAAGGCACCATTAACTGAAGCACCCTACCAGGCACCGCTGTGCAATTTTCGCCAAATTCCGGATGTGCGCTCAAACGCATTTTGTGGTTACACCATTGACTTCAAGACCAACCCCAAGAGCAGTTTTAGAGTGGGGCTTATCTTTGGCTCCAGGACGTGGGTTTCTGATCAACCCTAGTGTTAGAACTATTGCAAATCAATTTTCTATATCGATCACTTGCCACACGTCCATTCTCGAACAGTCCCAAGGCCCGGGCCGCTCGACATCCGGCCGGTGTGCCGGTGACTCGGTCACTGGCCCGGGCTGCTCGACATCCGGCCGGTGTGCCGGGGACTCGGTCACTGGCCCGGCTGCTCGACATTCGGCCGGTGTTCCGGTGACTCGGTCGCTGGCCCGGGCTGCTCGACATCCGGCCGGTGTGCCGGTGACTCGGTCACTGGCCCGGGCTGCTCGACATTCGGCCGCTGTGCCGGGGACTCGGTCACTGGCCCGGGCTGCTCGACATTCGGCCGCTGTGCCGGGGACTCGGTCACTGGCCCGGGCTGCTCGACATTCGGCCGCTGTGCCGGGGACTAGGTCACTGGCCCGGGCTGCTCGACGTTCGGCCGCTGTGCCGGGGACTCGGTCACCGAACCGATTAACGGCGGGCGGACGCCGACGCCGACGCGGCGTTCCGGGCCATCAGCTGTCGGCGGCGGCGGGACGTGGCCGGGACAGCAGCAGCGGTGACGGAGTAGGCGTCTCGCGGTGCGCGTCTGTCGCGCCGCCAGTCGGGCCGCGACACGGCGGCGGTGACGGAGCGGCGGCGACGGAGTGGCGGCGATCGATGCGACATCTGGTGAGCGGTGTCGGTGGCGGCGGCGGCGCGACGCTTGCCGGCCCGAGTCGCCTGTTTGTGAGCCGGCCGCCGATCGATTTAACGGAGCCAACTGACCCCGATACGGCGACGGAGCCGACTCACTCGTCCCATGCGACGCGACGGATTAATTGCGGCGCCACCGGCCCAGGTGCTGCGCACGTGCCGCGGTTCGATCTCTGTCCTCACCGCTGGTAATCGGGGAGTGGAGGGGCGTCACTCCTGGTAATCGGGGGAGGGAATGGGTGAGGTGAGACCACGTTGATGGGTAGCTGGTTTGGTGGACGCGGTTCACAGATTCGTTTTGGGCGACGGCGATTCCTTGTTTGTGACGCCATTCACGCTTTCCAGTCACATTGTGCTCCGTGCCAATTATCCCCGCGCTTTGAAAGTTGTCGCACTGTAGAATGGCCGCGGCCCCGTCT